TTCCCTCCCCCCAAAAAGAAAATTCTGATGCCACAACTTCTGCTATACAACACCTCTGTGGGCAGAGTAGCATAGTCTGCTCCTCTAATCCTCTAATAATTACCCCCTGAAGAAAGAAACTAAGTTGAAATGATCTTTAAGTGATTCTTTAAGCCTTATTAAATTTAATTATACGAACAATAATACTTTTAGAGATAATTTTTTTTCATAAAACATGGTTCTATTTTACCATTTTGGGGGAGAAGGGGCTTCAGGAAGCCTCCCTCCCCCTCCCTTGTAGTCATGCAATAGTTGAGAGGATGTTGAAGGTATGATTTGAGATGTAGTTTCGAAGATTATTTTCTTCCTTCCGGCATTAATTGAAGAGGCTGATTAGACTACAATAATAATTATTACTAGTAGACTACTAGAAAAATTCGAACAGCATATTGTAATCAAATGCCAGATTAATAATAAAAGGAAATAATGCAACGTATCATAAGATAAAGAAATCAAATGTTACTTTATCGATAAATATAATCGACAAAGAAAACAAAAATTAATTTAAATCTTCATTTTTGTTTGTAACCAACATGTTTACAAATTTCAGTAAGCTATATCTTTGCTAAAAATTGTCCGATTTCAATGATTTTTTTTTTCCTTTTGTAGGGAATTAAGTAATCCTTTATATAATCACGGGCATAACCAAGGGAAAAGTGTTTAATTTTTTAGTTATTCGCAAATAAAGTTTGTTTTCTTTTATAACTTGTTTGCCTGAATTTTCGGGGTGATTGGACTACTTTATCCGCCTGAAGGAGAAGGAAGCCTTCGAAATTGGTGGCTCAATCTTGAGATTTGGTGAAAAATTTACGATGATATGGTTTGCTGATCAAAAACACCATCGATAAATAATATAAACTCCTCTCTCGATCATAGAGACCTCAAGTCGACGAAATGAGACATGTATTCAATGACAGTACTACAATTAATGTAAGGTTGTGTGGATGCGAACCGCATGCCTTGCGTTATCTCGAAAATAGTACGTTTATCAGCTTAAAAACGCAGGATCCAACATTTCCGGAGGAACTATCAGGGTCTTGCTGTACGCATCAAAATCTTCTAGATGCAATTTGTCCCGTATCGATTTACAAACCTACCATTGTTCAGGTATTGAAGCCTAGCAAAATGTTTGTATCGACTTTATTTATTTTAGAAAGAAAAACAAAAGCGGAGAATACGATTCGCTAACCCCCCTTGAAATTCTCAATCCAACGGTACCCCATTCATGGTATTTGAGCATGACAGGAGCTTATATTTGGTACAAAACCGATTTCGAGCCCTACTGTAATAATATATGTGCGGATTATTTTTCTGTAGGCTTTACAACCTTTTCCATTTCTGCCTATCTTCAGCTATTTCTTTTCAGTTGTCTGCATAAAAATCTTTACATTTTTGTTGATTTGATCTATTTTTGGCCTTTGACATGACCTGTTGCCTGCTAATGTGGCTTTCATTCTTGTTTAGAGCATTCCTGGTGGATTTATCTAAGCTTCAGGGCCCATTCATCTTAATCTTCTTGCCTTCAAATCATGAGGTATTGATTGACCAGATTCAATAAGTAGTTCTTTATTGGTTTTTCTCCTCCATGCATTAGTATTCTGATCACTCCGAATATCGGATGGAGGATTTTCCTCTCAAATCTTTCAACACTTCTTTCTAGGCTGCTGATTAATGTCCAGATCTCACAGCCATATATCAGAACTACGTTATAGAGATTTTTCAGGATTTCGATGCCTTTGAAATAGAGAAGAAAGCTTTGTCTGTGCTTGTTTTACATATTTCAAACTGATGGTCATTCATTGTGTTATTGTGGACCGGAGGTATTTAAATTTGAAGGCAGGAGTATCCAAACTAAGGTCCGCAATTACCATCTATACGACCCAGAAAAGTTTCTTTGAACGCATGATAAAATTTTAAAAATATAAAATTTAGCAAAATACTCACACGAGGATACTACATTTATTTTATGTTTTTTTTTACTTTCCTGCCTATACTAGGTAAGGAATGTATTGCAAACGGATCAAATTTCCGACATGCGGTTTTCGACGGATCTATACGTTTCATAGCCCCCTGAGTCCGAAAAACACATTTTTAGACATTGGTCTGTCTGTCTGTCTGTGCCAAGATTTTCTCGGCAACTACTGAACCGATTTTGTTGCTTCTTTTTTTTATTTTGTAGGGTTTTGACTACTGATGCCTGTGACAGAAATTCGTTGCTCCATGCGCAATAGCTTTCGCGCAATAAATGAAAAACATGTTTTTCTATAGACTGTAGAGCGAAAACGGATCTAACGATTTTGATGAAAATTGTCTATGATGTTCTAATCATTGTCCTTTCAATTTTCGTATATAGACTAAATTCCCAAAAAAATTCAGGAAAAAAGTTATAAAGAAAAGAAAAATGTTATGTGGCCTAACTCTCTAAGTATATATTATACGGTAAAATTTATAATACAACTTTTGAAAGGTAATTAAATTACCAACCTATACTAGGTAAGAAAAGTATTGCAATCGGGTCAAATTTCCGACATGCGGTTTTCGACGGATCTAAAAACGCCGTTTAGCCTATCGTTTGAAAGGTAATGAAATTCCCTACGAAGCCATATAAAAATCGTTCATTTTTGACAACTATTAACGAAGTTACAGCTATTCAATTTCCAATGTAAGATTATGGTTTCATATACTGGTGTCAGAAAGGGGTGAATGAGAGAATAAAGATAACTAAGTGAAAGAAAATCTGTTGCCCACATCACACAACATTCACTACTTCCTCTACTTTTAACAGAAATTATTGTTTGACAATACTAAGCTATGGCAAAAAGTTTTTGATCAGCAATATTATTGAGTATTGAAATTTACCTTAAGAAACTGATCTACCTTAAGCCGGTTTCATTGCTTTAGTTTATCAAATAAATCCTACTCAAATCTTTTGTTTGTTCAATTTTCAGAAAAATAAATTTGGTTCAAATCTTTTTTGTTTCTTCATGAACATATGTAAAGATATAAAAACTTTTCTGAAATAGGTAGGAATGTAGTGTGAGTAGACACACCAGATTTTTTTTTCTCTTATAAAGCTCATTTCACAACTGAAGTGTCATTTACAGAGCAAGATTTTGTTTTCCTTAACAAGCTGCAGCCCACCGGACTTGGGTGGAGGTCACTATACTACCCGCGGGATTTCTCAATGTGGTCAAAAAGTTTGGAGGCCTCTGGTCTAAGGAGATCATTTCCCTTCTACATAGATCCTGCTGTATATAAATGCAAAGTTTCACTTCGATTTTCCAACCAAGGCATTTGACTTAAAGGCAACAATTCCCTTCTTAACCTTTTAGCGATGATGAGTGGGAAGGGAGGAGTGGCCTTCAGAATGGCATTAGCTGGCAGTTCTCCAAGCTTCTCTGATGAAATACTTTTCATTATCTCTACTCACCACTTAAGCCTTTTTATTTAAGCTATCGTTCCAAACTTTTTTATTTTGTTTTTTATCTAACTTTTATACATTTGTAACCATGATTAAGGAAGCTTTGAAAAAAAAAACTCGGCTCTCTTTTGTTTCCCGTGCCAGATTACTAATTTATATTTTTAGCATGTGCATGTGCTCTTACATATTATATCTCTTGTATCTTGACTATCTTTTCTAGATGTTTAGATGTGGCATGCCATAATATTGTATATAGAATAAGTATCTTTTTTGTTATTTTTATTATCTTAAATATCTTCCTATTTATCTTTAATTGTATATAGTAATTATGTTTAAATTCTCTCTTTTTCCTTGTATAATATTTCTTTTTATTGTACATAGTATTAATTCTGGAAATATTTCTTTCTGTAAATAGATCTGTTAACCTTTTTTGCTGCTTTATAAAAATATCCAACCTAACCCCTTCTCACCTGAGCTAGCATGGTAGGATAAATGATTAATCATGGCCAAATAATAGGTAAGTAATTTATATTCTCTATAATTATCTCTTCAGAGATGAAAGGCTGGTAAAGCCAGGCGCCCAACAATAAAAGATTCCGACAGAAAATTATATTCATTAAAAATTGTTTAATTATCTTTTTATTTATCCTTTTTTTTTTTTAGTCATAAATTGATAGAAAGCTCATGAAAAAATAAAGTATCAGTTTGAAAATACAATTCATAACTGAACACCCCATCATTTAAAGTAATAGAGACCGTCAGGCTCTCAACTCATATATATGAGTCTACCAACGAATGATTCTCGTCCAGAATTGTATGTGTATAAGATAAGGATATTCTAACAATGAAAGTGAATATAATAATACCAGCAAGATTTGTTATAAAAAATCTTAATTTAATGTTATAGAGAAATTACAATGGCATGCTAAATTTGAATTATAACGATGATTTTAGGGGAAATTGTAATGATTGTTCAAATAACAGAAAACTTACTTTATTTTTTAATATAATAATAAAAGCAAAACTAAAATATATCTCATATTAATTCTCAAATTAGTTTGTAACATACTTTAGAGATTCTATTACAAAAATTATCTCGACATTAAATCTCCTTCCTTTTACTCCTTAAATATAACTTAACTAATTGGCACAACAAGACGCAACAAAAAAAATATTTAATGGAATTCGCTTTTCAACATCAAACAGAAAACATAAGCTGAATATCAGGAATCAAGTCTTTCATTTTGTAGGAAGGAACTTTTGGAAATATTGCTGTAAATCACACTCTGTTGTACTAATAAATTCAGAGTACATTTAAAATTACACACTTCAAATAGAATTAATTGAAATAATTGTGTTGTAATAATTTATTAAATTAGAACAATCAAAGAAAAATTGATTCTATGCAATTACTCTTATATAATATCATAATTATTTGTTAGTCAATCAGTATTTATATATATTATTTATATACATTGTATAATATCATTATAATGTCATAAATCATTATAATATTTTTTTCATTTTTTATTTTATTTTTAATTATAAAAATAATCTTTGTGTACATTTTTTTTACACAAAAAAACAAACACTATTTTGTACAATATATTTCAAAAATATTTCTTTTCTTATTTGTTTGTATTCCTTTTTTTTATTTTTCGCACAGCCTAATACATCACATCACACAATTAAAACAAAGAAGTATAGCCTGTTCCAAAAGTTTAAACAAAGGAATGAGAAATATTACTAAGATATTTAATAACAACATTAAATAAATAAGAATAACAAACTTCATAATAAAAAAAGTTAGTACAAAATCTATTTAGCATTTTTCTTGAGGCATGTTTTTATTATCGGAATTTAATTCAACAATATTAAAAATATAGAAACAGAATAAAATAAATAGTGGCATTCGCCAGAAAAAAATACTTTTAAAATTATAAGAACAAGTTCTTACCCTTAAAGAATGAGTAGGTACCTAATGGAGTTGAACTTCAAGAATCAACTTAAATCTTTAAATCCTTGCAAAGAGGGTGAATTTAAAAAAATAATAATTATTATTCTGAAAAGACAACAATAGATATGAAAATCGCTGATTAATTTTTTTTTAAATCTGGAAAACAATAGTTATGACTCACAAGTGTTATAACTATCAGAAAGAAGAATCTCAATCTATACAAACTGGACCCTCCATTAATTTATTTATGTTTAAAAATCAAAAGTTGAGGCAAAACTCAATATTTATTTAAGGCAAAAAATAATATTTATTATTATTTTTATATCCTATAATATAAAAATTGAATACCTTAAATATTTTTTTAACCATAAAAAACATATGTAAATCCATGATAAAAGTTTGATTTAAAGAGGTTCAACTTTAAAAATCAATGAGCTCTGAAGATATTTTGGAATAAATACCAAGAATTTTTTTAGCAGTGAAAAACTACAAACTAGCTTCATTTCATTGTTACCATTATTTAGCATCCTTCCACAGCAGAAGAAACCCCATTAGCAAGAAAAATAAAGTTTTATTAACATCTCCAAAAAAGTAACTATATCAAAATCTTTGGAACAGACTATGAAATAATATTGTACAATAAAGTTTCACTTAATCTAATTCTTAACAATTAATTAATAATTAGTAGAACTGGGTACAGTTCTTCTAAATATTTACACTGATACAACGTATCAAATAAGCATCTGTTAATACAAAACATGCAAGCTCTAAATAAACTCTAAATAAAATATAACAATCCTACGGTTAAAGCTCAGATTCAAATTAGTCATTATAATCTATGGCGATGAGGAAGATAGTGTACAACAGTATTACGCATACAAAGAGTCATATCTGGTGGTGATTCGAGTTCTCGATATGGTTGTACACTTTTCCTCCCCTGTCGCAAGATGGTTTTCTCGTGGTTTGCAATGGAGGACGGTGTTCCTTCCGCCATGCAAGGATGGCATTCCAAATTCGTAGCTCTACCCCGCCTCTAAAAAAATAGTTTTGTGATGATACCAAATTCAACATTTAATAAATAAAATAAGAAAAAGGAGATGGTCCAGGGTTTGCAGTCATAAAGAGACTAAAATAGTGAAAAAAAATATTTTATTTAAAGCCAACATTTCGACCTGGCTTTACAGTTCTTCTCCAGGGCTAGAACGAACAAGATACAAAAGGAATAGAAAATTGCGGAAGTTACATAATATTTAAATAAAAATTATAAACAATGTGAATAAACTTATTGAAATTATAAACAGTAAGTACATCATTGAAATATTAACAACAATAAACATAGTAAACTAAGTAACAAGATACTAAACTCTATATGCCCGCCACCCCGGACCATCTCCTTCCTCTTAAATATACAACGGTCAACCATTAAGTATGCAATAAATGAAATAGTTTATTGGGTAAAATTTAAATATAATAATATTTACTTCAATTGAAGTCTTCTCAAATCATCTCTCCCCATGTAATGTAATACATCATTCAAAGTGTATTCTTCGGCAACAAACTAAAAAAAAAGAAATATGGACATTTTTAAAATAAAATAACAGTGGATTAATAATTTACTGTCGTAGATATATTGAGAATAAGTTGGTTGGGATGTTCAGTCAAAGAAAGAAAAAAGTAAAAATAAATAAACTATATTTATTTTTAACAGTGGATTGATGGTTGACTGTAGAGAAAAGTTGAAGAGAAGTTAAAAATACAAAGTAAAAATAAATAAATGATATTTATTATTATTTTTGCTGATGTATCGGCCCAAAGTTCAGGCCTTCATCAGTTCTAACGAAAGACCAGATAACAATAGGTATGATAAACTATTAACATTAAAAAAATAATAATAATATGTATGTAAAAGGTATAATCTAATAACATGTAGACAGAATAAACTTAACATTAATAAATAAGTGGAGAGGCAAAAATATAAATAAAGGAAATAATTTTATATTCATTTCTCATACCTATTGTTATCTAGTATTTCCTTAGAACTGATGAAGGTTTCAACTGCTTACCATTTGAGAAATAATATATAAAGATCACATGCTTAATATCTCTTTTTACTTCCTAAACTCTATTACAATTAAATTGAAAATGAAATAAAACAGATACTTATTGTTTGATTCTAAAAAAAAAAAATCTATGTGAATTATTAACGATCAAACTCCCATTAGTTCTTGAAAATTCATTTATATTTTTATCTTAAATTCTATTCATTAAAGCCTAACTTATATTATTCAAATTCATTAAATTTAAATAAAGTTCTAATAATTGAAATTTGACAATACGATTCATAAAAATTAGAATTCTTATACTTTATTTAAAGATAATATAAATGTATAAAAACATACAACATAAAGTGATATATTTACTTAATTATCTACTTCAAATATTTAAAATGGAGATTATTTTTATGAGTGACTCATTGATATAAGCTTAAGTATTATGTAATAACTGAGTCATAATTCTAGCGAACAATTTTAGGCCTTTGACTCATCTCTCTCTGTTTCACTCACTATCTGTGTTGTGAGTGTCCAATGAGGCAGTCCCCAGCGCTGAATTTGAAGTATGTTGCTGTTAAATATAGGTATTTTTAAGAGACTTTTAATTAATCAATTATTAACAATGATTTCAATTTTTATGTTACATCTCAAATTGCTCTTTAATAAAAAAAAAGTTTATAATGATATTGACTATATAAAAAAAAAAATTATCCAGGAAACAAAATGAGAAAAAAATCAATATAAGTTGGTGTTACTGCAGGAAGAACAGCAATCAAATGTCTGGTGAAACAAAAAGTAACAAAAAAAGGAATGGAACTAATTCAAAAGGTAAGCTTATATTAAACCATTTCATTCATTAAAATAGTTGGCTCATACAAATAATTCACAGAGAATATTGGTCAGAACGCAAACGACAAAATAATAAAGAAATTTTTCAACATATCATGAGATGAAAAATCATTTCCTATTTTTTCAGTAATTGTAATTAACCAAGGAAAAGAAAATTATTATAAAGCTTCATTCATATTTTAAACCAAAATGTTTACAAATAACAATAATCTCTCTCTCAGCTAATAATGATCTGAATACGATGATTTTTTTTCCTTTTGTAGGGAATTTAGTAACCTTTGAAATAATCATGGGTACAATCGACAAAAAAAAAAAACTTTTTGAGTTATTAGCAAATAAAGTTTATTTTTCTTCCTATCTCCCATCATTGGATTTTATGAAAAATTGACGAAGATGGCATACTAAAAAAAAAAAATACCTTTGAAAAATAATATATAAAGATTACGAAAACATGTAAACGAAATTCCAGTTTTTAATAGGAATAAAGATTCTAAGAATCCCTGATTACATAAACCAAGTCTTACAAAATGGTGTATTTAAGGTGTAATTACGTATTTAAAGTAAATATACGCTTGGGATGTCATAGCAACTTTTTTAGTATAATTGACTAGCAAATTTTTATGATTGTCTCGAAAACAGTTATTTTATCAAACTTGTTGAATCAATATATAATTAAATAATTTTTAATATCAAGCAGGTCTCTTCCACAATGAAATAGTTTGAGAAGACAAATGCCAAATTTTCAAAATAGCCTCTACTAAAATACTTTTAGTATATGATTTATTCAAAATAATTGAGTCACTCATGGTTAGTACTAATAAGAAATGGCTTAATATAAATTATGAATTAAGCTGATAAATATCAAATGGAGAAAACAGGTGAAACACTTTTCCAGCTTGATAACATATTCCAGAAATAACAAATGTAATATACTTCTACATATATCAAGTGAAGTAATATAATATATTTTTGGAAAGATAACAAATTTAGAAAAATCAGTATCTTACATATAAAGTCGTAGAAGGTAATGAAGAATGATGAAAAATTATGAATAGTAATTTCTGAAAAGTAATGTTTTTTAACAGAAACTTAATAAAATTTCCAAACGAAAGTGAAACTTTTACGGTTATTTCCAAAATTCACAAACAAATATATTTAAATTTTTTTTTTTTTTTGTTGCCTGCAGTGTCATTGACAACACCTTCAAATTAAACTCTATGATAGGATTTCGCCGCTTTTAAGAATGCTAATGTTTTTTGAACTGCTCTTTCGCTGTTATGTAAATTTCCTTTTAGAGTTGGTGCCATATCAAGTTTTCCCTGATAGTTTTTAGTACAGGGCAGTCTTGTAAAATGAGTTTTACTGTTCTTTGGAAATTGCAGTTCCCGCAGGTTGGAGGATCAAGTCCTCTTAAAAGACAAGCATGTGAGACTTCACAATGTCCAATTCTTAATCTGCAGAGGGCTGTCTCTTCTTTTCAGGAGCATCGGTGAGAGGTTTCCCATTATAAACAGTGAATATTGATTTCCTTTAATTTTGGCTCTTTTTGTTCCCATTTGTTTTGGCACAATTTCCACACATTAGTCTTAATTTTTTTTATGTAGTTCTTTAGAGGAATTTCATTAATTGACACCATCATGATTGAGGCTGTTCCTGGCTTTCTTGGCACACTGGCTGTTTGATTGGCTTGTTCACTTCCGGTGAACTCGCAATACGAAGGGACTCAGACAAACACTATTTCTTTGTCTTTCTCCTTTCCGGGAACGGCCATCGAGTCCATCCTTCGGTTCGAGTCGTGTCCCTCATCGACTGCGGAGGTGCAGGCATCCTCCTGTACATCGGCAGTTGATGTAAAGCCGTAGCGATCATAAGATTGCAGAGCCTGAGACCAATCGTGCTCTGAGGTCAGGGAAGAAATGCTTCCCGATCAAATTGGTACTACGGGGCGTCGCCGGAGCTCTGGCGGCGTTTTGGGTGGACGGCGAGAGTGCTTGCACTGCTTGGCCATGGCGGTCGTAGTGGTCGATGTGTTTACGGCTACTCGCTGCACGACACCAGTGTTCAGCCAGTCTTGACGTCGTTCAGGCTAGTCATCTGGTATAGTGTGCAGACGAGTGGTCGGAAGTTTGATAGTAGGATGCTGTGCGCTCCGTGGGCACCAGTTGTGTGCCTGCAATCTCTTGGTCTTACCCAGGTTGGAGGGCTAGGTTGGAAGCCAGTTAAGGCTAACGCTAGGCATGGCTTCCAACCGAGGCTCCTCGGCCTACAGAGTAAGCGTGCACACCCTCTGTCTTTCTCCTATGGTAGCGACCAACTTGTATTCCTTTCGCTGGAGTAGTTTCTGGTCTGGTTTTTCAATGGCTAGTAATGTACTCATCAAGTCCGTTACCAGGTAGTTTCAGCTCCCACATATTTAAGAGTTTCTCTTATCACTATCATTTCGCCAGTAAAAACTGAGCAAGCCTCCAGGATTTTAAATAGTTTTCCAAAAAGAGCATTTAGAATATCCTACTGATCCATCCATATATAAGATGTTGCATTCCTTGTATTGTATTGTATATTTAACCAAAAATTTCAACTAGATCTTAATTTCATTTTGGCTTTTTTTAAACCCATTTTATAATATCACAACTAATTGATATAAATTGAAATTAAAAAAAAAAAAATTACTTTATTTATGGACTGTTCCTCTATGTTCATAGATTGCAACCAGTTCACAAGTTTATTGTCAGGCGTTGTGTCGGAAGATACACTTATCTGCGGAACGAGCCTTTTCTGCCGCAGATCATCCCTAAATCGATAAAATAGAAAGTTCATAATTAATAATTTCAAAATAAAATTAATTTTATGATAAATGGTTAAAAAAACATTAAAATAATTTCTTAAAATATTAATTAAATTATAAAAATTTCTTCCTATAAAGTACTTTTATTTTTTTTTAACTTGAAATAATTAATCATTTCACATTTTAACCTGCTATACAAAATATATAAATATGAATTGTGAAAGAATTTAATAATTAACTAAAGAAGAAATTAAAGGTATTGCATACCATAATAGAGACCCAATGCTTGGCCGTAAGATTAGAATATGTTACGATATGTAACACATGTTTAATGAAATACAAACTCCAATAATATTATATACATGTACATGCGCGGTTTTCATGAAATCTGGCATTGATATTATAGTTAATACCAATACAATATAAATAGTTAATTGTATTTTAATTAAAGTAATATAAAAATTAAAATTTATTTATACCAAAAGTTAAACAAACAAAATACTTATACTGAAATATAAATAAATATAGCAGCCTTCTTTATCAGTGGCACTCCTGCCAGACAAAACTATTTCATGGTATTTAATTATTTATTATAATAAAATAAATAATTAAAATATATGATCGTAAAAGGAAATGGTTAGCAACAAAAAAAGTATAAATATAATACATTAGACGGCTGTAAAAAAACATGTGGTGATTAATTGTTTTAAATAATATTTCGTACCATCTGTAATTTTTACTTTCACTTCCCTTTTTCTGGAAATATCTATTTCTGCTAAAAAAAGAAGAAGTGGTAAGTGAAAGTTGTGTGATGTGTGCACCACACCATAATAATAAGCTTTATTGACATCAATAGATTTGACAAAAGCCTTTCCCTTAGGGAGGAGTTTAAATGGAGTAAGCTACAGTGCAAACGAGCACCGTACCATATTTTTTATTATTTGAACAGTAGAACTCTCAATATTATATACGTCCTTCATCACTTGAATTCTATTCCAGCTCTAATTTATGCAAGAATTTTTCTTTCGTGCAACTACACCATTTCTTACATAATGTAATTAAAAAATTCTTACGTGGATGAATAGTCCGAAACAGAGATAGGAGAATAGGTGCCAGACACATTTCTCAAAAATTCGACGACTGTTTTATGCTCATCGACCATCTGTTTTAAGAAACTCAGCATGTTTTTCTGGACATCTACCAGCTCCTGCATCAGCCTTAAAAATAAATAAAAATACATAATTCATCAACAATAAACAATTTATAAAAATAAATAATAATGATAAAATTATTGAATAGTATTTAGTACCCTATATATATTATGGTGTATATTATTTAAAAAATATATCCCTCCCAGCAGTAAGGGCTAAAATATTTTAAGAACTAAAAATATATCTAATTAATATCAAGTTCGTTGGAGTGTGGGTCCCAGAGTGCCCTGTTTTGATCATTGTAGGTTTGATTCCTACCTGGGTCAGTTAATATTTATGCCTTAGCGGCCCTGGGAAATGAGTCTTGACACTCCCACTATGGTAAGTACATGGCAGAGACTTCAAGGTAGCCACCATTTGAACATTTTATTTAAAAATTGGTCAAGTTGTTCGGTCTATAAGACATTAAGTACCTTTTAACTGATAGATTACTAACATTTTATTCAATCATGAGACAGTGTTTTTAGCTTAAATTGTTTCAAAACACTCAGCCACCAAACTTAAAAATCAATCCAACCGTTCACTAACAAAATTATTATATAGCTTTTAGCGGACAACCTAAACAAATGAACCTCGTGCCACTTCACTCAGTCAGGCTTAAAGCAAAAATACAATCAGTTGTTGATCTTCCTTGCCTAAATCCGCTTTGGTAGCCACCAACAATTCTCTCAATGTCTATCTTCTACAAATCAAAGACAACATAACTTTGTAGGTGATGCAATGTAGGGCTATGCCTCTATAATTGTCACCTTTCATGTAGATAGGAGATGAAAGGGCATTAGGCCATTTTGATGGTTCATTGTTTATTCATTACGGTCCAACTTAAATTTATAAAGAAACTGTTTGGTTGGCCCAGAAATACCCCAAACTACATAGTCCACCTCGAAACAGGAAGAGAACCATTAAGAATGAAAGTATTAAAAAAGATGATAAATCTATGGACCAAGCTCGAGTTCATGCCAGAAGAGCGACTCCCAAAACTTTGCTTTAATAGACTTAAAACATTAGATAAGAATAAGCCTGACATAGACTTCAATTGGGAGTCTCAATTTAGAGCAATAGCCGAGCTTAATGCCTTTGCAGAAGAGCTTTCTGTTCACCCCACAAACGGACTTCTTCGATACAAAGACGACATCCTTGAAAAACGCACAACTATTATTTCTCAGCCGACATACAAAGAACTTTCAACTCCACTAACTACCCTTAAGACAGAATGCTATGCAGTTACAATGCTCCCGATCCTGAAACGTACCTTACATTCAAAGTCCACATAAAGAAATTGAGATGTGTTAGTCAATTAAGAGTTGCAGACCCAGAACATATCAGAATCTATGCAAAAAACAGAACATTTTCGATTGAATCTCAAGAAACCTGTATATGATGCAGTCAATTTATCTACAATAGTCTACATCACATTCTCCTTCACTGCCCAGCATAAAATGACTATAGACAAAAATTTCTTCAAAACTTCATCTCAGAATCTTCTGATAACTGCAACGTCGAATCCATACTGAATATCGATTGTATAGATAAGTTAAATAAAATTTACTATTATATGATGGGAGTACACAAAGTGCATACATAAAATTGTCGATCATAGCCATGTTCTATTAAGCGTTTGTTTTTAGTTTATCTTAAGAGTAATATTTTGTTTATATTTATAAATATCTTTATTTTTTATTGTTTCTATCACAGTAACTGGTTCATATAACTATTATTATGCAGTAATCGTTTTATGTTTTTAATTTATATTGTTATTCATGTTTTGTGAAACCCATTCTAAACGTTAAATATTGTAAATTTTATTTATATTTAAATTATATGTATGTAAATTTGTAAAATCATATTATTGTACAATAGCCAAGCTAAGCTAAGCTCTATTTGTATGGGGAACCCCCTTAAAACAAATAAAATATCTATCTATCTATCTTGTTTATTCATTACTATTTTTATCTTCAGATTTTGTTGTTTGCGGGTAAACATTTTGATCAGTTAAATAATTCTTTGAAAACAAATATTAATGCAATATATGATATTATAACGAAATGTCCTACCTATTTAATAAACAAAGAAAAATACATACTTGTAGTTGTCATTCTTAAGAGAGCTGATCTGTGCTCTAAGCCTTGGCCTCAGGTTGGGTTGATAGCTGCTGCTTATACTCATCGGCTGCGAGTTTACAGTCGAATTTACTGAAGGGGTCCCTTCCGTTTGAGTTCTCTCAATATCTTTTTCTATTAAATCTGAAAGAATAATATAATTTTATATGATATATAAATATGAAATTACGATTGATGACTAGAGTAGTATTATAATTATCTACATGGAATAAAGGCTAAGTAATTTAAAATGTAAAGTTAATGTCAGTTCAAACTGTTGCCCCAAAAAAGTTTAAATCATTTTAATAAAAAAAAAAAAAAAAAAGCTTTTGTTTCAATTATCTGTATCTTTTTTGTTTTTTAACCCTTTCTTGCCTTTTAGGCAAAACAGGGTTTTTCCCGGGATGGGGAGAAGGCGGGGGAATTTTGCCGCATTAAAAGTCCCACCTGGCATCAGGATTTGAACTCATAATTATTTTTCTATCTATAACTTCGGTTATCAGTTTGCCAGGCAACACGCTTGTTGCGTTAGCCTGCTCAGCCACCCCGTCCCCAATTATCTGTATCTTGATAATCCTTAATCAGGCAATGACCATTACGTTCAAACAACCTAAAAGAGGAAATTTCTAATTCAGAATTGTTTAGTTGTATTCTTATAAATGTCATAAGGTACAGAAAAATATTTTAAAAAGTTAAGATCGATTAGTAGCGCCCTCTGGCCAAATTCAACTTAGGTGGGACAAAGATGGCCAGTGTGCATTTGAGGTACTGCTAGTAGTGACCAACATACTACGTAGTTGGAATTTCTTTTTTAATTTATTGGAAGATTACTCGCCATAAAAACGAATAGTTCTCTTTAATATTTATATCGAGGATACTATTAGTGCAATTTTTATTTCATTTTACATATTCATTAAGATAACAGTATAAATTATGTGAAGGGGAATTTCAAAGAAAGAAATAGTAATTTATCCCCTTTTTTTCTGTCATATATTTAAACTATTTAAAACTATAACTAATAATGTAAGATAAATTGATAATAAAGATTAAATTTTTTTTCTCATATAACCATATTTTTATTTAATACTGATCAAAACTGGAAATTTTTTTAAAATTTTCAAGATTATTATATATTATTAGTCTTTAGTTCTATCATAAAAAAATAGAAATGATAACATAGCTAAGGAAATTTTTAGGATTATGCTGGCATAATTATTATATTTATAAACTTCTCCATTGGGCATTTAGAATCTCTAGGTTCTCCTTTTTCTATTTAACACTTGAAAATTGAAAAAATATTCAGTAATGCAGGTTATATTCTCCATTTAAAAAAAAAAAAAACACCTTTTTGCACTAGTGATAGACACCTAAATTCAATTGTTCTAGTAACTGACAAAGAGTCGGTACCAGTAATAAGCATACCTCAGAAGAATTCTAAAATCATGGTTTAACTATAAATATAAGATAATATAAATGTTCAACTTAATCTTAGCAAAACTGTTAGTAGGGAGGTATGAAATACACTTATCTCAAGAGCACTATAGAAACAATAATAATACGGATTTTAAAATTTTCTTTTGGAAACTTTATTCATATTGTTGTCAATAGAGGGCATCATTCTTCAATCTAGAAAAAACTTGAACCTTTAAATCAACAAGGATGCTTATTATTTTTATTTTAAGTCCAACCTATCCATCATTGGACCCACTGTCTGTCTGACACAAAAAAAAAAATATCCTGCTCGCGTAGGCTTGCATCCAATAAAGGGTTAACATCTTAGCTTTTATGTTTTTTTATATTATTTTTTAGCGATGAAATGTTGTATTACTCCATAAAACAGAACAAAACAATAATACAACCAACAGAAGTTTTTGGGCAGTCATGATAAACCTCCTTGAATAAATTGAACTAGATCAGGTCATGAAGAATTTATAATCGGATAATAAGCTTAAAATGATTGCTACAAGAAAAGCTAACTTATAATAAAGAGTTCAAATTTTAAAAAGATATTTTTTTTTAATTATTGCAAAGCAACTACTACTTAACTACATTTTTTAGAGAGCTGCACTTTTAATTTAATTGATTTTTTTGTGAATTTTAACTTTATTTATTAATAACACATTAGGTGGATAAAAAGAACAAAAATCTTTTTTTTTTTTATAAAAAGTGTTTTTGTTCTTTTTATCCACAATAACTGCACAATGTTCTAATTTCAAATCAATCAAATTTCATAGTAATTTAATTTGGTAAAATGTTACTAAATAGCTTTTTGCTATAAAGCAATGATATGGTTGAATTTAAAATTAATGTTTTAAATAAAAATGATAAAAATCATAAAACCTGGCGAAGTGATTGATACAGCTGTCTGAACAGCAGTTCTTATTAGTGCATCCAAGGCGAACATCCAATGCGGTTTGATTTTCCGAGATTTCAAAACATTAGTGATCTAAAATAAAAACGAAATTAAATGAACAATATATTTCTTTAGCAATGGAATAATAATCTGAAAAATATATTTAGTTTGATTAATTTTACAAACAGCATCATGAAATGAGTATAAAGCCAGTTGTAAATGGTCAACAGCGATCATGTTCGAGTTGAATTCTTCCTTCACTTGATTAATAGCTATTTCCATTGCCTCTTTGTTCTGTGTTGTAACGTAATCCTTTATGACATCAACCAGAAATTCTAAGTGGTGCTATAAAAAAAAAAAAAAAGGACGTTAATTACAGGACTAAATTATTTGAAGATTAGAATCTTATGGTAATAAAAGATGAAGAAGAAACACTTTTCTAATCCTTTATGTTTTTAAAATAGAAAAGTAAGTGGAAAAGATGCGGCATGATATGATAATAGTTTTATATAACAATTAGAAAGTATGTACAAGTTAAGAATTGTTAATTTTATTGATTAATAATATGTTGTAATTATAGAAATAAATATGGAACATGTTATCGAAAGCTTCTCTGGGTATAAGATATGAAATAAAAATATATAAATTATAGCTATAGTATAAAAATCCAGATCTTCAAAGAATATAAAACAGTCGAATATTACCTAACAAGGACTAAATTATTGAAATACATATGAACAAACAGTTTAATTTTAAAATCTATCTTTATAATCTAATATGATAGTTTTAATATCACAATCACTTTTCCGGCTGTTAGAAGGGATGGATTTTGCTGAATGAGGTATCAATCGAAAGGGTATTAAATGGAGTAGTGATGATTTATACTAACATCCACCCGAAATTTCAAAAAAAAAGTTATGAATGAAAATAAACTTTATTTGCGAATTACCTAAAAGTATACATTTTTTTCTATTTTAACATGCTGTTCTATCCCAAGATATTTATATAGCTCTTCCTTTTTTAGGTGTTTAATATGCAATGCTTCATTAAATACGTTCTCGGAGTTACTTGGCTTCCGTTAAATCACTAAATTGTGTTACAGTATTTAGCATAGATTGCAACTGAGATTTATTCTTTGCATAAAGTTTTAAATCATCCATATAAAAACGGTCTAATTGTGTTGCCAAAAGATATGCCTGGATGACTTTTGTTCATTTCTGGCATCCATTCCATCCTTTGAGCACCTCTTGGTCTCTGTTGCCGAGTTCCTGCCCTGCCAAATAGTCTCGCCCAAGCTCAAACTCCAACTAGTTGCCGGTTCTTGCAGTCTTGTGGTCCATAGCGATTGGGTGGTGCCACTTGTTCCACCATTACCAGAAGGAAGCTGTCAAAGCTGTGCAGCTTCATTCCCAGGCTCATCCGAGGCTATACGTCGATTTATTAACTCCATTTTTAATGGGTTAATGTATTTCAAACCTTCTGCCAGGCCTTTGTAGATAAGGATGCCCTAGGGTGTGTACTGAAAATTCCCTAATGTCAGTGCATATGTTATTGTGTGAGTTTTTGAACACTATGATGTACTCAGGAACTCAGGGAAGCATAAAACTCCAATTACTGCATTAATCAGTTGCCCTTGTGGGTTTTTATTATTATTACATTATTATTAGAATTATCGTGATAAAGGTTTATTTTATTTATTAAAATAACTTACTGTTTTTAAAAGCGGGTCTGATATTTCAGTCTTAATCCTCTCTTCCCAGACAGACCGGATGACGTTTTTGTCTTCTGTCATGACTTCAGACAGCGTCTTCCTCCTCTGGCTGTCTTTCTTCAAAAGAAAGAAACCATCACTTTCGAGGGGATGTCTCGGAGCTCCTTCGATCACTTCTGGCGACATTAAGCTAGATCTGCGGGAAGTAGTGCTAGAGGTTTCTTCAATTTCTGGAGTATGGATGCTGAGAAAAAGTAATAGACCATAAAAACAGTCCAGAGGGGATATATAATAAATAAGAGAAGTGTTATAGTGGTAGCATGATGGTTGACTGTAATGAATAATTGAAAAGAAGTTGGTTGGGGTGTTCAGCCAAAATTTAAAGTAAAAATAAATAAATTATATTTATTTTTATTTTTGCTGATGTTTCGTATCAAGGCTGATCTCACAAAAGGCTCCCATAAAATTTCTTGAGATCAGCCCTGATGAAGGTCTGAACTTTGGGCTGAAAAGTTGACAAAAATAAAAATAAATATCATTCATTTATTTTTATTTCGAATTTTGACTGAACATCCCATCTTATCTTCAATAACATTTATAATTAAAAGTTAGGAAAGTTTTTTCTGCTTTTGTCTATTTTATTATATCTTTAACAATTTTTAAGTTATAAGAAAAAAACTATTAAGTAAAATGAAACATCAATTCCACAAGTTAATATAGCTTTTTAGAAAAAGATATTCAGCATATAAAATATAATTCCTACATATAGTACAAATAGTCACAGCTAAAAAATATAAATAAAATGCATTAATCATAAAGAAGAGCTCTTAGTTTATTTACATGAGAATCGATAGTAATTAAATAAGAAAAAAAAAAGCATGTTTCACAAAGCATTGGAAATTGAGTAAAGACTTTGTAGAAGAAAAAACAATTGCATTACCTATCAGAGTAAGATTCATTGAACCTCTTACATAACATAATATGAAATTTTCATTTTGAATTTGTTTTAACTTGTCTTTCTAGTTGTGAATATGCCTCATAAAAGTGTGATGAAAAATATAAATGACCCAAAAATCATGATGAAAAATAAAGATGTCTCAAAAAAATATGACCTTATATCAAGTACAGTAAGAACAAAGTACAAAAACCGTTATTTGATTTCAAAAGGTTTGAATGTTTTGAGATTAGAAACAATGAAATTATGGGAAATGATAGGTTAGGGAAAACTAGTAAATAATAAGGAGATATTGTATAAAGTACATAATTTTGTAATTATATACAATCCCCACGTATATTATTGCAGTAAGGTTTGAAATCAGTTTTTTACCAAATATAAGTTCCATTGGGTACCATTAGATTCAGAATTTCACGGGAGATTAGTGAATCATTCTCTCCACTTTTGTTATTCTTTCTAAAATAAATAAAGTCGATACAAAAATTTTGCTAGGATTCAATACTGGAACTGTGGTAAGTCTTTAGATAGATACGGGAACAATCGAGCTCTGCATTCTTAAGCCGAAAAACATACTATTTCCGAGATAATGCAAGGCAAAGGATTCGCATCCACACAAACTTATGTTAATTATAGTACTGTCATGGAATACATGTCTCATTTTGCCGACTTGAGATACCTGTGATCGACAGAGGAGAAGTTTATACCCCGAAAATTCAGGTAAAAAAGTTATGAAAGAAAATAAACTTTATTTGCAAATAAATCAGAAATTACATACTTTTCCCTTGGTTATGTCCAAGATTTTATAAAAGATAACTGAATTCCCTACAAAAGGAAAAAAAAAAAATCTTCGAAATTGGACAATTATTAGCAAAAGTAAAGCTTATAGAAATTTGTAAACATGTTGGTTCCAAACATTAATGAAATTTTAAATTAATTTTATTTTCTTTGTCCATTATATTTTACAAGGAAGTAATTATTGATTTCTCTATCTTATGATACATGATAATGATACAATATTTCTATTTTTCAAAGTTGAGGTTCATCTTTCTGAAGCTAAACATAGAAATATATTTTAAAAATTTTGCTTACAGATTTCCTAAAATATTTTAAACAACATAAGTATTACATAACTTACACATAAACCGTTTGGTAAATGCACATCTAGCTGACATTCTTAAGGAAATTTCTATGAACTTTTACATGTAAAAATGTTATTGTATTTTTCCTGAATGAATCTTATAGGACTACTTCTCGCCTTGCCCAGGCATCTTTCAAATCCATGAAACATTGATCAATATTTTAAAAAAATTATAAATTTAGAGAAAAGTTTTGTTGCACCAGTAGCTGACACTATTTGATTTGGAATGTTTCTATAGATGAAAGGGATAAGAATAAGGATGTCATTATGCGAAATAAATTTAAGTCAGCTACTGGCAAAAGGCCCCATTATAAGAAGCCAGTAAGTAGGTGACATCCATTAAATTTCCAATTCCTTCATCAACATATGTTAAAAAACCTGGTGCGCATAACACACAACTTTCACTTACCGCTCTACATGAATATAAATTATTTTCTGGCAATTATAAAATTTTTGAAGTGTATTTTTAACCGAACTAAAGCTTAAAGCTTGTGACGAAAAATAAAATACAAAAAAATTAGTTTGTAAAATAATTTTTAGTTTTTATAAATAATAATAAGTTTTTTTTTATTAACTCGAGAGGATTAGATATAAAATTAAGTATTTAGTATTAGTTTTAATAATAAGTAATTGTTTATAATAAGTCTTAAGTTTTAAGTATTAGTTGTAAATATTATTTTTAAGTCAGTGTAACAGCCAACAGCTGATTGGGAGGAAAAACAAAAGAGAGTTGAGGCATGCTAAGGATTTTTGTGTGTGAAATACTTTAGTTTTACAGTGTACACCGGATTTTCTTTTACTATCCACGAACCTGTGATTATCAGCGACGAGTGCCGCTTGATTTTACAAGTTGGTGAATGAATCTTTTCACAACATGAGGAGGTGGACTGGGTAGACCCTGACAACGCTAGCTCGAATAAGATCGCGGTTCCTCAGATAACCCAATGTCCCAGTTGGACAGAGTTCAACCAGTGGGATATTGTAAATATGTGCATATAAGTTTTTCCCTATTTATTTTTTTCCCCAAATATTTGTAATTGGTTAATTGTATAGTCGTAAGTTAATGTTTAGTTCTATAATAGTTTTATAATCTTTCCTTTGATAATTAAAGTTAATTGTATTTTCTTTGTTTTCTTATAATTCTAATTTCTTGTTCATAATTTTCATTTCCTTTAACAGTTCTTTAAATCAATAGAAACAAGTAAATTCATCATTAGTATTAATAATAGCCAGTTTTATTTTCTTCTTCTGATCGTTTTCATGTTTTAGGTATATATTATATTGTATTTATCTTTGGTTTAATAAAGAATTGTAAAACCCTATTCGAGGGATTAGGAAAAGTCATTATTAACCAAGTAAGAAGGTTCGATAGGTTATGAGGTTATACATATGTTTTTAAACCCAAAGGTTCCGAGTTCGTAGCTCACTCCTCATCCTATTCTTTTTTTTTTTTAAATTTACTTCATTTAATTTTTTTTATTTAATGGTTTTCGCTATTTTCCAAATTCAACAAATTAAATAGCGTGGCACTAGTTAGAAAGTTATTAATAATTAATTGACCCTTGATTTTTTTTTATTGATTTTTTTTTTTTTTTTTTTGCGAACCCTGCTGTCTCCACTGAGCATCCGGCAAGTTTGTTGCGGAAACGATTTTTCTAAATTAAATACCGTAACAAGCTAAGCATTAACAAATCATTAATACCATTAAAATAACAAAAATCCTTCTTATTATATCGAGGGTTGATTATGGATTTTACAACTATTAATTATTAAACTGGTTTTTTTTCCATTGCAAAGTTTACTAAAATGGAATTACAATAATTGCATTGCCTGTCATAGATAGGTCAAACATTGTCATACTAATTGTATGTTCAGATATCACAAAGGGAAAATTCATCAAATTATTCACTAATTTAACTTTCTAAAAGTTTACATGATGATTTTTCAGAATAAACGGACCATAGTTACCCAATTATTTAAATATAATATCAGATCTAGACTTATTAAACTACAGTAAATGTATATAAGGTTACATATCCATGAAATGTTTTTATATTTCACTTTTTCTTTCGCACAAATACAAAGAAATAGTATTTTAAGCAATATTATTACCTTGATTTGGTGGATTCTAAATACTTTTCTCAAACTTAAAAAAAAATTTTAACTTTACATTTAGTAAGAAAATTTCATTTAATTTCTTCCGAAACATGTGATTTACATTAACTAATGTCAATTTTCAGAAATTATTATTCATATCTTTTTCGTCACTCTCCGTTACTTTCTACAACTTTATTTATTAAATATTATTTTTCTAAAATTCTCCACTTTCCAATGATATATTATAAGTATATCTTCTGACTATTATTTCCAGAGATTCATTTTCGACCTGGATAAGCATTTTTCTTTTTTCTCCTTCATTCATTTATCAAATCCTTTCAAAAGTTATATTTAGCCATTTTTTATAGTTGCTGTCAATAAGAGAGAGTTATTTTTTTCAAAATAAACAAAATTAAAGGTATTTTATAGGAAGACGTATATGAACATTGGGCATTTAAGCTCTGTAATGTGACATCAATGTGGATAAGAACTAACTGATATTAAAATCAATTTAATAATACACTGATTTACCAAGTTTAATCAAAATCGTTAAGAACCGTTTTAGAGAAAATCGTAAAAATGTGTATCACCATTTATATAAAGTGGCACTTCCGGTTAGCCAATTTTAACGAAAAAGTTGCTGCCATATCGGAACTATATAAAAACCTTAAATATATAAAATCTCGTACAACTTTTCGCTTTTGAGCTAGACTGGTCACATACACACATACAGACCACTATGCGGACTTGGTTATTTGGACTCAGGGAACCTCAAAACATGTATTTCCGTTGAAAACTCAGATTTGAAAATTTTCACGATCATAATACTTTTCCTCACTATATATTACTTATATAGGTAAGTGAAAGTATAAAAGATAAAACATAATCTAAAAAAACTCCATGATAAAATAAAAGAATATTTTTGGGATAAATTGAAGTAGTTAAAGAGAAAAAGGAAAATATAAGGTGTGGTACCGTTACTGACACATGGTTGTTTCTGAGACATTAAGTGGACCTTCAGGAACCTGCTCAATTTAACATAGGTTATATCGGATATGGTTTTCAGCAAGACTTTGGCAAAGCGGACGAATATTTAAGGAGAAAATATAGAAACCAAGAATTTATTAAATAGAGGTCTAGGAGATCATGAAATCTTATTATTCCCATTTTTCAAGAAGGATGTCAGGTATTGGTACACTGTCAGCCAATGGTGCTTTTACCCTACAATAATAAATAAATATATATATATATATATATATATATACTGCATTTCGATCTAAATATAAATATAATACAAAACAAGATTAATAAAACTATTGAATATTTATTTAATGATGCATCACTTTTCATAATCAGCAACTGAAAGAAAATGTTATAAGTTTCAAAGCCAAAATATATAAATTAAAAAAAGAAAAATGTATGGTTTTAGTAAACATTCTCTCATATATCTCTTCTGCTTTCATTAATAAATGCTCATTTTATTAGTACAAGAAGGGATTATAAACAAAAGAAAAGTTTTAATTTAGAAATAAAAACATTAATAATGAAAATGCATAGAACAAACATACCCCTAACCACCAGAACAGATCACATGAAACATATGTTTTTTAAATTTATTGAAATAAATGAAACATTCAAATAACAAACAAAAAAAAAATCATTAGTTTCGATAGAGAATTTATATATTATTCATTCTTCTTAATTTTTATGAAAAAAATTAAACAGCATCGTAAGTGTAATATTAGTTAATATTATTGCTGATTTACCTGTTGATTGAGGCTCCTCTCGGCATAACGATCGGTGCGAGAAGTTTCGGCCCTTTAGCCTTTCTCGGCTGAGAGTTGACACTGTAGCCAAACACAAACACAAAACAGTCGGAAGCCAAATCAGTAAACATAATGCAAACATAACTAAAGCAAAATTAATATGAACATGACTTTTTTTTAATAACATTCCATTTAATAAAAGAAAAGAAAACGAAACAAGAAAAGATGCAACACATGCTCCATGTATAAAAGTTTACAAACACGTCCATATAGCTTAATTAAATTAGAATTAATAATTTACAGGATAATATGACAACTTACGTTTCGTCAGTATTGGCCGCCCTGCAGACATTTGCAGAGTTAGTGAATGAATTAGTGACGGAATTTGGAGTGTTCCAAGCCTGAACGGCTTTCACTTTCTCTGCTGGAACGGAAACGCTTCGACTCAGCAGTTCTTGCGGAGCCACTAAAGCCCTAGAGGTCTTCTTTTTTCTATCGAAAAGTAAATATTTAACAATAATTTAAACTATCAACAACTATATTATGCTATTTAATTTAATGATTTCATATAAAATAGAAATAAGGTTTAATTAATTAAATTAATAACAATCAAAATAAAGTATTATTAAGGAAAAATGCTGCAAATTATTACACAACAGTTTACTATTTCCAAATACTACCTTCTTTACCACTTTGAGAAAAAATGAACCATAAAGGCGTTTGCTAATATTACCTATTTTCTATTAAAAATATTCTATATAAGAATATTTTCTATTCATTTTTTGTTAAGAAATATAGACAAAATAATCTTGATTACTTCAGTCGATGTAAAGTTTTGCAGTTATAAAAAACCAAAACAAATGTGATAGGCTTTGTTGTAGAACATCTGCATGCACCTAATCATCCACTTTCGAATAAATATATAAATGATTGTGTGATAATTTACAGCATTTTATCCTTGGTCGATTACGAAGGTTCATTATTGAAAATAATAAACCAAGAATATTTGTTAAAAAGATATATCTTTACTTATAGTTTTCCAAGTTTGATGTATTTCTTCATCTGCTTTAGAAAAACTAAATAACTTTGAAGTACTTATAAAATCATGAAAAAGTGTATCCTTTTAGAGTTATTCTCAAATAAAATTTTGCATTCTTCGTAACGTTTCTTCTAACTTATTTTCAGGAAAGTAAGTTATATATAATTTAAAGGACTCCAAGCAGAACACATTAGGCAAGCTTAAAATCTAAATTACATACTTCATTCTTTTGATATGTATTTAGATTTATGAAATGTTAATTTTCACTATTGTTTTGACTTACTTCATTAGTATTTCACATTTTAAAAATGCCAAAAGTATTTAATAAATGTGTATATAAATACATAACAATATTTATTCTTATGGTCTATTTTGCAGGAAGTGGGATATCTTAGTAAGGCACTGGACTCCTATGCTCAAGGTCCCAGATTCAAGTATGCTTATAGCAGATAATTTTTTATTGTTATAACAGCCCTGGAGCAACCTGGAATTAGGAGACCTTTCTGGGACACACTCATCCTCTATAGAGTGGGTACTCTTAATTATATAATTAATTAAGGGGAAAAGTCTGGCAGTTGAGCTGACCAGTCTCTTAGCATAACCGTTTACCAAGAAACAGTATTTCCTTACCAAGTATTGAAGCAACCTCCATAGGTTTATTTCAATTTTTTGTTGATGTTAAGAAAAAAATTTAATTTTTTTTTTTTTATGTATTTGTCCGGTTAAGGGAGAGTCTACTATATTTATTAAGACTGACATTGATGTATTACTTTTCAAGACTAATATTTCTTATTCAATTATTTTTGTACATTATCATTGTCCGATAGGCTGCCTGTTTCCATTTTACAACACCCAGAATCCAAAGCCTTGCATATCCTCCAGCCACGTCTAAGCCATGATTTCTTAAAATGGAGTGAGTGCCCCTCCATATTTATTTTAAGGAGCCTACCATGTTCCATTCCATCGTATTGTGACCCTTTCTAGTGGATATCATGTCTGGTCATTCAGTCTTGTATGCAGGCACCATAATGCATTAAGAGATATTTTTTTATATTAGGAATGTATCTTGTTTTGCCTAACCCTAAAGGAACTATTTCGCTGGCGCTGCTCGGCAGTCTAGGTATGATGTCATATCTAAACTGCTCGTATTTGACTCCTCTTGAAGCAGTGGAGCTGTTGGCGGTTCGGCGGTTGTAGGTTATGTTATTATATCAGAGCAATGTTCTGATGATAACAGTCCCGTCGATATGTTTTATTTCCAATGTTTCTTTCAAGTCTGGCAAAATTATAACAAATATCGTTTAAAACTGAAACAATGCAATAGTAAATTATTTAAGGTTGAAGTAACAAGATTATTTATTTATTTATTCCACCAGCAATATTTTACAGCGAAATACAAATATACCTAAATCCAAACGATATTAAATGAATTAAAGAATCTAACAAATATCGTCAGGTAAATACTAAAATCCACCCATTGAAAAATCGATTTGTATTTTTTAATTAAAGTGGTGATTTACTGATTACTATTGATAAAACTATAAAACATCGCCTGCTGGGATTTAATTACAAATATATGATATTTATTACTAATCAGTTATGTATTAATTACTATTACTTTTCAAGCTAATAATATCTAATATCAGAGGGACTTTGATGATGAGCATCACATCGAAATACTGATATTCCTTCTCTTTATGAACAACATTTTCTCTTCTTTTTCCAACTCAAATAAAAAAGCGGTAGTCAGAGATGTATATTATTATAGGATGTTCATTTTTATTATTATATTATGTCCATCTTTTTATCTTCGAAGATACAGCGAAATGTTTGAAGGTTATAGGTAGGTTATAACAACCCCAGTGAGCAGTTTCAGCGAAATAGCTACGCCAACAGCGGTTGGCAGCGTGGAATAGCGGTCGCTGTCGTGGACCGCGCCAGCGAAATAGTACCTTAAAGAAATCCGAAACATAAAAGCAGTATTACTACAACTACCTCAACTGTTAAATACATGATTTAAATTTCAGATGATAAATTAAAAATATATATATATATATTATTGACAAAATTTTACTTACTCGCTTAAAAACGGATCTTCAAGAAGCTCGGAAGCAGTTGCCCTTTTACTGGGATCAACATCAAAGCAACACTTGATGAACGCCTGAGCTTTCTCAGAGAGTTCTTCAGGTATTCCTGGGTGCTGTTTGTAATATCCGACTTTAAACATGGCAGCTTGAGGCGAACCGAGCTCGACAAATGGTGGTTTACCGGTTGCCATCTCAACAATGGTACAACCAAGGGACCATATGTCAGCCTAAAAAGAAAGTTAAAATAATAAAATAAATAAAAAAGTGAAAAATAATTTAAAAATAAAATCATATTACACTTTTCTTTATCCAGAATCCTGATTATAGATAAAAAAGCTCGTATCAGATTCATTGTTCATTAACTAACTTCTTGTTAAAAATGAACTTACACCACTAATAAAAATAAAACGCCTCATAAAGTGGCTAAAATATGGTGACTTATATTATTAAATTAAAAACTATTTTATACACTTCATACTATAAATTACAATTAAAACTAATGTTATATATAAATTACCGGTGCACCATAACCCCTTTGTCCCTTGTCTATAACTTCGGGCGCCATATACTGCAGAGTCCCAGCCAACGTTTGCGTGGCAGGACGGAGAGCGGCTAACCTTTTCGATGTTCCAAAATCTGATATTTTAACAACCCCACTGTAGGTATTTACAAGGACATTATCACCTGAAAATCAATGGGTACTTTAATTTTTATAGTTTCACCACGATTAGATGGCAGCGAACTCATTCGGCACTTAGTTGAAATTCACATTTTGTTTTTCCTCTAAACCTCTGATATTACTTATAAAATATTCTAAAATATGTAAATTTTTGTTTTTTATATAAAATAAAACAATATATAAATAAATTTTAGTTATCTCTAAATTAATTCTGAAATCATTAATGCACATATATTTTTTATAATATTTTCAGTTACATAAATTTTGGGCTGAGGGCTTACAAATTCATTCACTGTGGAGGGTTTAAAGTCCAATAAACAACATAATTGCACATAAGCATACATATATTTATAATTAAATGAAATATATATTTTATCTAATAAATTAATTAATAATTGTAAAAATAAAATAAAATAATGCTCACATGATTTCTTGCAAAATGTTCCAAAAACTCTATTCTGCTTGAAAACAAATGAGTTGTGCTGCATAAATCTTGGAACTGAATATATTCAAAAAAAGGGAATTGAAAGCAGGCACATCCCCTACCGCAACGAGTTACAACTTGCAGAAAATTCAAATTCCAAATGAGGAATCAATAAAATCACAATATACATATGAGAGATGATATTGTAATATTTTAATATATGTACATACTTGTAAATATTTAGTAAAGAATATCGAAGGATTAGGGAAAACAAATATTGGTTTAAATTAATGACGCCTGAGTAAGCTCTCAGGCTGCCAACTAATCGTGCTGAACAAGTAGAAAAAAATTCAGTTACCAAAATAATTGGAATTAATATTATCATAAATTGTCGCAACTCATAATGAGTTAAGAAGAAATTAACAGTAAATAATGCTATAAAATATAAAAATCTTAAATAACCTCCAAAAAAAAATACAATTATATTCAAAAATAAAAACTACTTTATCTTTAATTTTACAGATAATAATAATATTTGAAACCTTTAATGTCCCTGTGAACAATCTTTTGGTCGTGGAGGTATTTTAAACCTTCCAAAATCTGTTTTGTGTAGTAGCATATCGTTGATTCATTCCCCTTCAAAGGCCCCCACTTGGAGCGCAATAAGGCGGAAAGGCTTCCTATATAATAATAAAAAAAAAAAACAGTCAGCTTTAGATCAGTATTTTAATATAATTAAAATAACATTGATATGACAATGGTACCTCATAAATTATAGTAAAAATTTTGATACATCACAATATTGATTTGTAACCAATATTTACATTGATATATCAAATCGGACAATCGAAACCAATATTTCCTCTAAAAAAATAAATAAAAATATCTACAAAAAAAAACTTCCTTACTGGTTATCAAATAAAATGATATTTTGCGTATTAAAAAATTCTCGAATTATATGTTTATTTGTTTACCTAAGGAATAAGTTTTTTTTAATTTAATAATGGAAATACAAATTATTTATACATGTTTCAGTCGTTATTAATTCAATTTTAATTTTTATAAGTTAAGCAATTTAATTAATTGTTTCTATTTCTTAATAACAAGTTTTTATAATGATAAATTTTAACTTTTTTTAATAGGTTTTTAGTAATTCATTACATATTGATTTACTTCTATAATTCTTTTGGAGGTGAGCAGTCACATAAGTAAAAAAACTAAAATATGTACTTTAGACCACACGATAGAAGTGAAAACATCAAAAAGGTAAAATTAATAATATGAAATATAAATTATAAATAATAGCTCATTATAAAGAGGATGAAATGTTGAACATTTCCTTTGCTTACAGTATGCAGCAACATTTACATTATTTCTCTTCTTACTTTTTATATATTATTAATAATGTTGTCAAAATAACATTGTAATGTTGTAATAATATTAGCATTTGTACTATATATCAGCATAAACTCGTTATCCTACCCTTTAACACAGTGTTGGGTTAAGATACAATTTTAAATAATTGCTCATTACAAAAAAAATAAAATGGTGAACATTTTCCTCGCTTACAGTATACAGGTCAAACTTTTAGTATCTGAAATATTTCAATCCATATGTCCAACTAAACTCGTTATGATTTGGTTATCGACACAATTTTTTCTATTTCGGCTCCCTAACACGGCAATGCATTGAGATACAATTTTGAACTATAGCCTATTGCAGAGGATGAAATGCTCAACAATTTCCTCACTTACAGTATGCAGGTCTGATTTTTAGTTTCTGAGATATTTTAATCGATATGTAAAAACATTTCAACTAACCTACTTTACCCGAGCGTTAACACTTCGGAAATCTGATGAATCAATCTAATTCACTCTTCGCAAAAAAGTGGAAAAATACGCCTAAAGAAATTTAAAAAATAAATAAATTGTATTTATAAAGCTTTTCTATCCAATTTTATCTTCAAGAGAAGCCCTTCATGAGAACACAGCCCTGATGAAAGCTTGAACCTTTGGCCGAAACGTTGTCAGAAATAAAAATAAATACAATTTATTTATTTTTACTTGTGACCGCTCACCCCAACCAACTCCTGTTCATTATTTTCACGACAGTCAACTACAATATTAATCCACTATTTTTTTTTTTTTTTTTTTTTTTATGTTTATCGATTTCTAGATTCTAGAAATAAGTTTTTGTTTTCTTTATTGCCAAATATTAATAAATTGGTACTTTTTTTTATAAGCAATATATAAATATTTAATTATTGCTATGACAGCTATAAAAAATCTAAGACTTCAATTCAAATATTAAAAAATTGAGACCCACAATAATGATATATTTTTCAATATATCGATTTTTTTGAAAAAACGAATTACTATTATGGTACATATAAATATAACTGACAGCAGTTAGCAACTAAGTGATAGTAATAGTAAATAATGCACAGCTATCATTAAGAAAATTGAACTTGACAATATGAATTTTAAAGCTTTCATATCAGGTCCTAGCAAATGTTTATATAGTGCGTCAGGTATACTGTTATAGACTGAATGAAATAAATAAATTTATAATTTATATCAAGTTTAAAATTACTGGTGAAGATATTAATAGACTGAAGGCTTCGTTTTTTAGAGTTTTAATAATGTATGTTATATATTTCAAAAGTTACAATTCCTACATAAATAAATACGAAACTATGAGAAAATACAACTATGCATATCATTGTACCTCCAGGAACTTGTTCCATCAAGATTTTAAAGTAATTATTTTCCGAAACAGATCCTAAATACTGGACAATGTTCCTGTGCCTCAGTTGAGAATGTAATTTGATTTCCTCGTGCAATGGTTGAACATCACTGGAAAAAAAATAATTAAATTAGGAAATATAACTTTAAAAAATGACTAACGTACATCTAAAGCACTCCTGAAAAGTTAATTACCCTAAATTCTTTTCAGGTATCTCCTTGATGGCTATCCTGACTTGGGTATTGAGGTCTCTCGCAGCGTAGACGATGCCGTAAGTTCCCCTTCCCAGGACGACTTTTTTTCCGTTGTCATCAAGATCGTACTCAAACTAAAATATTTTAAAAAATGTATGTATATATATGTAAAGTATCCTTGATTCTGGCATGACTGTAAAAGGGACTATCAAGGAATCTATTTTTGTCTTGATGATATCTATGTTGGCAAAATGTTGACAGTTGACTGGTTTTTCGACGGTTTTGAAAATTTATTTTTGGAATCTTCCACTAATATTGTAAATTTTTTTTGCTTATTTTTTCTGAGTTTTCATCATAATTAATTAATATACTTCATTCAATAAATAATTTCATATTTATAAAAATTAAACCTTGATATGTTCTGATGATAAGGCTGTGTCGAGATCCATCACCATACCCGCCTGATCGGCGGTCATTTCCAGTATCAGCTCAAAAAACCTCTGTCTAAGAAGTGCCGATGGGAAATACATTTGGAAATCATCCGAATTCTGATGGACATACAGGAACAAACACCTATCATCTCGTTTATAGAGACTGAAAAAAAATGTGTTAGGCTATCAATGAAAACACTTTATTGTATTTTTAAAAATAAATATTATTAAAAAAATATTAATAACTTGGATAATTAACACTCATACTTACCTAACACTCTTAATCATACTCGCTGTGAACAACCAATCATGTACTTTCTTACAGGTATTTTTCATACATTCTATACATAAGTTAACTATAGTTAGAGATTTTTCTTCAGCTCCTAAGTTAAATGTTACAAAACTGGGCATATAAATTTTTGTTGTTTCAAGCACAAGCACCTATAAACATAATAAGTATTACCAATAAGTGTACGTAAGTAGTAACATAATAAGTATTATAAGTAATACTAATAACCAATATAAAATAATTTATTCATAAAAAAACCAATTTAATTTAACAAATTTAATAAAGGAACCAATAATGTTTTCTTTGTCTTAAAAAAAAAAAAGTTCATAAAAGTTGTTTTTTATCATAGTCATGATTGATAAATTGTAGTTACTACAGTTTTAGTAGAAGTTGGTTGGTGGCTGCCGTCGTTTTGAAATACACAAAAAAAAATAAAAAATTTTTGTACCAACAGTTCGGCCAAAGTTCATCAGGGTTAAGCAAAGACAACAACATTATGATAATAATAAAGAGAAAGAAAACATATCATCAAGGAAATAATAGGATGAAATAGTATTTTATATAAATACTTTTTTTAAAATTTATTTATATGATATTTACAACTGTATACAAAAAATACATCTGGTAAATTCGCACATGGATATAATGACATGAAACACATGTTGAGAAACTACCCATTGGTAACACTCTAATAATATGTCTATATTAGGAGATCACGTGGCCATCTTCTTTTCAGACGCCTCGGAGGGATATCAGGAATTGAATAGGAAGCAAGGTTAGAAACAAGAGGGTTGGGATGGTTATGAAGTTTATTATGGAAGGACAGATATCTGGATTGGGCCAAATCTGATACATAAGGAACATTAAGGTCATTATGGATTATTTTATTTGTAACAAAGTAAGGAGCATTGAGGATTTTACGAAGGATTTTGGATTGTAAGGATTGGATGCGAGAGGAATTTGAAGGTTTGGTGGAGCCCCAAAGCTCAACTCCGTAAGTCCAAATAGGCCTTATTATAGTCAAGTAAATGAGTCTTTTATAATTAATTGGAAGATTAGAGCGTTTGCCTAGTAAGTGTTGAAGTAGTCGGAAACGTTGAGCTGTTTCTTGTCATTTCAGTCTGGTATGAGGATTCCAAGTTAGACGTTTGTCCAGATGGAGTCCTAGGTAAATATAAATACTAAAAATTGAATAATCTAAAATAATTATTCACTTATTGTTATATATTTATTAGCCCTTCAACAACTGTGAGCTCATACATGAGTTAAGAAGGCACCGTGCCCTGGTAATAGTGGACTCGCACATGAGTCGGGAGCCTGTTAGGCTCTTTCTCATTAAAGGACGAGGTACTCAGTGATGAATTCTACTTCCTAACTACCTCACAGCCTTACTATGAGGTAATTTTTCTATGCCTGGATATTATGGGCATTTTGGAACAATGTAAAAATTTGGAAGTTTTTTAACATAGAAGTAATCGTTTTCTCCTTCTCCAGAGCTTCTACCAATAGGTAAACATGCTGCAACAGTTTTGGACTCCAAGAAGAACATAAATGTCCATTAAAACTGTACCTGGGTTATTTATTACAGATGTCCCTGCTCTTCTTATCTAATCCTACCTATTCCTCCCCTCTTCTTCAGGTTGGCTTTCAGTAACTGGCCAAGTTATAAATCTTACATTTCGTCTACTACCCCATCATTTGTCATGATATTCGTAGGTAACAGTTTTATTTTTAATCTCGTATCATTCTCAGGATAAATATAGTACACTATTAATTATAATTAACTACTTAATGTGATCATAAAGCTCTGAAAAATAAATAAATTCATAAAAACAAAAAAAAATACATAAAAGATATTTAAAAGTGAAGAAAAGTTAAAAAAACAAAAATCAATAATTTCACTTATAACTTAAAATTTAATAAATGGTTTATTCATTGGTTTTAAAAGATGAAACTAGAGTTCTTTTTTCATTTCGTGTTAAATTTCCAAATTAATGAAATTAATACTCTGTCTCTCGCTATTTGGAATTTGGCGGCATTGTAGCTTCTTTTCATTTTGCAGTTTCCAGGAGGCTTTGATATTTTGAAGGCCTTTCAATATTATATTCCCACTTACTACTCCTTTGATTCATCTAATTCCATGGTAAGCAGTGACCGCATCAGGGCAAAAAAACCCAGGCATTTGGCCAGAGGCGCTGGGCTGGAAGTGCTCGCCACTTATTAGAAATTTAAACAAAATACAAAGCATACGAGACACTTTATACATTTTATATTTACATGACCACATTTCATTGAGCATGTCATTACGTTTTTTCGGTAACGACGCAATTCTATAGTCTTCAGTAAACTTACAGTTTTTTATATCACAATTTACTGGTTTTTAATTACAGATTCTCTTTTCATATAGAAGAAATGAAACATCGTTGATTTCATTTTGTAGGATCAGAATATGTGCTAGGACAAGATTGACTAGAAAAGCACAAAACCTTATTTTCCAAAGAAATTGTCTTCACAGGTTTTTGCAGCGTGGCTGTCGATATGTTTCAATAACCTATGCCCATATTTTTTTAATAACTTCATATTTGCTAACAATCACTGTAGTTATAAAAAAAGTAAATGGTATACCATAATTTTATAAAAATTACCGCACTGAAGCATTAAAAATAAACAAGTGTTAGTAACATGGCATCTTAATAAGCTACAAAGCAACAATTAGGAAATAACTGATTATTAACAAAAGCTTCTCAAGCATATTTAATATTTTAACATTGAAATCGAAAATACTCATATTTTAAAATTAAATTAAAACAAATACAAAAGATAAGCATTTGATTATAAGTCGACATTAATAAGCATATTAATAAACAGATTTTAGTTTTAGAACAACCGATAGTTAAAATTTAAAATCAAGAACAAAGCAAACGCAGATTAGATCCGAAGGCATCAGTTAGTAGGGTCTTTTTTACTTAAGTATCGCCATTTACTTTTTAGTAAATTAGTTAGAATTGTTACAGATTTGTCAAAAAAACATGATTTAATAAATGATTACGATTGTACTAATGATGTTATTATCTGAATCATAAACGTATTGTAGAAGGTTTTTAAAAAAATTAACTTAAAATTAAATTACTTTCTTTCATTACTAATGAAGGGCATCAAAATGTTTATGAAGAAAGAAATATATACAGAAAAAGGAAATATTCCAAGGACATTATATGAAATGAAACTTTTGTTCTCCAGAAGATTAATTCCATTAAATATTTAGAATATTTGTTATTCTCAAACTTAACGTGTTTTGTGTTAATCTATTTTTTAATATATTAATCTTCAATAAAACATTTGAGTGGCTTCATATCAAAGACAAACATCTCATAATTTTTAGAAAGTAGGGGAAAAGCCAATTTTAGTTTTATAGCTTCAACTCATCAAACTATTTCTGGTGATTTTTTTTAATATAATGTTCAAGTTGAATCATGAAAAAAAAATCATTAGAATTGGTTTAAATTGAAGCTGTTACACAAAATTAGCCTTTTTTCAACTTTTTAAAAATGACAGACGTCGGTCTTTGGTATGAGTTTCTAAATAATAACTGTTATTTTACTAAAAGTAACTGTTACTAAGTGAGTGATGATACTTAAGTAAAAAAGACCCGGTTAGTATTTGAACTGTTATATGCCTGAGACAAGAACTCACTGGAAAACGTATAGTGTCTTTGAGTTCAGTGTTGAGAGCCTCGACAAAATAATCAATCCAGAACTGAAATATCTTCTGCATCGGGCTACCCTCAGATTCTTCATTTTTTTTCCTAAATCTATTTATTAACATAATATTGCCTATAGTTGACTTCAGGAACCTACAAAAAATTTAGATAAATTCTTTTTTTCAAAATCTAGTAAAGCTAAACACCAGCAAATTAAAATATAAATTGTTTGTATTTATATAACTTATAACATATTCTAAATTCAAGTTATAGATTTAATGTAAGCCCTCCTTATTTTGAGGAGAATTATCCAAAAATCTTACTCATAACAACTAGATTCAGAGGCAGAATCACAAAAGGCTTCGACACAGATGTGACCAATAAATATAAGGATGACTTCACAAAAAGTGACATTTTTTTTTTTTTGTAGAAGTCCAAGAGCCGGATCAAAATTTTGTGACTTATTTGAAGAAAACTTTTAGTTATAAAAATACAGTCATGATATGCTTCCTCAGCATTCAATTGGCAGTAGTCCGCCAACTAAAAAAAAAAGTGGCATTTAAAAATGACGCCCGTCCAAATGGAAGATAATTGTGTAAAAATTGCATAATTGGAGAGTGATTTGTTTCAAGCAAGATTCCAGAAAAACGACATATTTTTTAAAAACCACGAGAAATTTTGAGAGATTTTTCTTCTTTTTTTTTTTCTGTTCGCATTAAAGACCATGTAGATCTTTTGCCATCTTTGCCTATCTTGAGATATTTCTTTCCAGTTCTATGTATGCAGCTCTATTGCATCTTTGTTGATTCTACCTATCCGTTTGATTTTTGACCGACTATTGAAGCATCCTATTTTGCATAAAGGCTTCCAGATGGATAACTCCGAGCAGTATACCCTGCCCATCTTAACCTACCTTGCCTTCTATATCAGTTTCTGTAAATAGTGACTTATTCGTCGTTCTCCTCCATGCGTTAGTATTCTGATCCCAGATCGCTCAGGTTATCGTGCAGAGGATTTTTTTCTGAAAACTTTCAATAATTTTTTCTAAGGTGCTGATTAGGATCCAGGTTTCATAGCCAGATATCAGAACTGACTTTATCATAACATTGTACATCCTTAATATGAGATTTTTCGTGATCTTAATACCTTTAAAAGAGAGAAGAAAGCTCTGTTGGCTATTTCCGACCGTTGGTCATTCATCTAAGTTATTTTGTATCATAGGTACTTGAATTGGTCTACTCTTGGGAACAAAATCCTTTCTACACCGATCCTATTATTAGGGACGGATTTTCGGCTTATTACCATATATTTTGTTTTTATCTTTATTTACTTGTAGGCTGATTTGTTCTGCTTCACTTATCAGAGTCTTAGAGAGTTTCTCAATGTCCTCTTGATTGCTTCAATCAATTTTTGGATTATATTTTAGCGAATATTATGGGAGCTGCTACTCCCAGTTTTCTGATATTTTCTGGCAGACAAATTAAACTAAACATTTACTATGATTATAGCAGTGTAAGATCCCAAGTTTTCTTAAAATAAGCCACAAAATTTTGACCCAGCTCTTAATGGCTTAAGGTCATCATTAATGGCTTAAGAAAAGAAAATGTCACTTTTCATAAAATCACCCCTAAATATAAATAATAAATAAAATATTATTTTCATTACCAATCTGGAGGTTTGAGTTTAAACATGCAGTCGGCAGCTGCAACAGCTTTAGTGTAGTCTTCGGCTAAGACGCTGATTTCAAAAAAAGTCGCTACATCCCAATACTCTTTGAGCGATTGAAGGCTACCTTTCTTTCCGATTAAATTATTCAACACCATACCTGCAATGATAACAAAAATATTCTACATGAAATGAAAATATTGAAAAATAAATTTAAAAAAAAAACTGATTTAGTTTTCCTATAACCTATGTGCTGCAGTTCTTCAGACATTGAGAATTCATTCCCTTCAATGACTAATAGCGTTGCTAGATTAATACCAGCGTACTCATTCGGCTGAACATCAAATCCTTTCCGGTACCAATGTATGGCATTTATGAGACTGGTCCTATCTTCATATTGAGATTCAACAAATTTATCTTTGTAAATGCGACCACAGAGACATACCATGTCGGGAATATGATTCTCTTTCTTTTCTAATGCTTTTTCTATCACCTGGAGAGCCTTTTCTCGATCTCCCTCTTTGTTTCGTCTGAAAGTGAAACAAAATAATTCAGAAAAAGAAATAGGTAATTTTAAATACATTTTTTTTTTCAATTTTTAAGCTATGAGAAAATATTTTCAATACATTCGACATCACTCAATTCAAGGCATTGGATAATTGAAACATTTTCATATAGATGGAATCAATATAGGTAAAAACTTTACTGTTCTTACTTTATCAACATAAAACAACAATAATTTGCAACAAAACAGTCCATCAAGTTAACACAAATTTTATTTTATAATTTTTCTAAATTGAAATTAAAATAACATCAATTAAATTAATATTATGGTATTAAATTCTATTTTTCCTCTTTTTGCCTCTATAACACCGTCGCATTACGATATAATTTTCGGTACTTCTTGTCTATGGGGCCGGACTAAAACCACACTTCTTATCTATCTTATCTAACGTCACGTCCCATAACCTCCCTCTTCTTATCCCGCCAAACCTTTGAGTTATTGCATTGTTTAGTTTTCAGTTATTCCCTTATTATGTTCAATTATTAAATTCTTTACTTTTGGCCCGTTTGTGATTATTTTTAATTTTTGGTCCGTTTGTGTTTATTTTACATTTTTTTTTAGTTTTTGGCGCCTTTGTGTTTATTTTAAATTTTTTTCCGTTTATTTTCTTCATATTATGGATCTTCTTAGAATATGGGATTTGTAACCTTCAGAAGAACAGGCAATTCAATATTTTCAAAATTTTGGGGTACTTGCCAATGTGAAATTGTGTGAACGAGGTCATCGAATGAAATTAACCAGGAAGGCCAAATGGAGATGCCTTCGTAGGACTTGTGACATAAAACTTTCAATAAGGAAAGGAACATGGTTGGAGGGCTCGAGGATTTCGTTTTTAACAGCTTTAAAATTGATTTATGGGTGGTCCCACAGCTTGACAACGATGAAGTGGGACAAAGAGCAGCTGAAACTATCCTACGGAGCTGTGGTAATGTGGAACAAATGTCTAAGAGAGGTTTGTGCCCATGACATGTTATACAGGTCAAGAAAAAAAATTGGAGGACCTGGCAAAGGGGTTGAAGTAGACGAAAGTCTTTTTTCTAAACGAAAAAATCATGTGGGGAGAGTTTTACCTCAGCAGTGGATGTTTGATGGAGTTTGCTGAGAAACAGATGAATGTTTTATCTTTTTATAAAACAGATTTTTGTTTTATATTTTTTCTTTTCTATGTAAATATGTTCCTTTAAATGTATTTTTTTATTATTTTATTTTGATGTTTTATATGTACATACCTTCTTAAAGTGTTTTTTTGTTATTTCATTAATATATGTGACGTCAAATAAAAGTTTTTTTTTTTTTGTTATTACATTTGTTTTTGTATCTGTTTACACTTTCAATAATACAAATTTAATACAATAATACAAAGATATGAGGTAGGAGAAGGCTTATCACTGCGTTATGGGAGTTGTCAGTGTTCAGGTTATAAACATTGGCAGATAGCAGTCAGTAGCGGCCCCCTAGACAAGAAGTACCTAATTTTCAATAATAGCTCATTACAAAGAGGATAAAATGATGAACATTTTCCTCGCTGACATTATGCAGATCTGATTTTTAGTTTTTGAGATATTTTAATCCATGTGCAAAAAACACTTCAATTAGTCGACTCCAGCCGACTAAACCCTAACATTACACATCAGAGATCTGACTCAATCTAATTCATTCTCCACAAAAAAAAGAGCAAAACGCGCCTAAAGAAGTAAGGCAACCTGGAAAACAATACTCACTTACAAACTCGAACAGTCGAGGTCAAAAACAAAAAGTCGTTTGAAATTTAAATTGCTTATTTAATGTTTGTATAGGATTGAGATGTTGTTAGCAACTTCTTTGTCAAAATAGGATAACCGGAAATGCATCTTTATATCATTGATTTTACACAATATCTTTTAAAACATTATTGGATGTATAATATCTAGATAATTTTTCTAAATAAAAATTCCATAATCACACTTCTCAGCAAGTAACAGCGTTTTTAAAAGCTGTTTTAAATTTTTTTTTATTGAAACGAAACGATCTATCACAAGCTGTACCAATATATAATCAACCATATTATATTTTATAATGGATCAATATCTTATAGAATAATTTAAAATGTATAATTAGAAATATTAAAAAAAAATATCCTAATATATAAAAATAATATTACCTATTTAAGGCAAATGGATAAAGGAAAGCTAGTACAGGAGTCTGAGTATAGCCACTTTTGTTAGGAATAGTATTCAAATCTTCAACAAGTTGTACCATAGCATCGTAGTCCTAAAAAAAATATATAATTAAATTTATAATGCAACCAACTTAAACAAAATATAAATAAAATTACATACGAATGTTTCATACAAAAACATCATCGCCAAGTATCAACAGTAGAACCCACTAACCATGCTTATTCAAAATAGAAATTCTTAGGAATAGTTGTTAAAAATTATATATATATTTTTTTAAACATCATACCTTATATAAATTTTCATTATAGAAAACATATGCATATTTCATATTTAATAAAAAGAAGATAAAATTCATAAAAATAGATTATATGTGTTTTCTGAAAAAATTATGAGATTTCCTTGATACATATCTTGGTCATTAATGAAGATACAAAAAAAAAAATAGTTTTTTCAAATCATTAAATTTTTTGCTTGAGGGGAAAAATCACATCAACTCTATGTAACAGGAAAAAATGAGAAGTTGTTGGTGGTTCTACTATTCAATATTTTTTTATTTGTTAATTATTTCATGTTATCCGGAATAACCAACCACGTTATTCCAGATAGATGGTAAATCCACTGTATTTAAAAAACCAATATTAACTATAGATACTTACGATTCCTCAATCTGAATGCAGTGACAAAAAAAAAATATATACATCAAGTGATTATAATGAAAAACATATTAAAAAAAAATAAACATGATATATGATTTATTACCTGAATGTCTCGAAATGAAATAAGCATACTGTGTACAACTTCACCGCAAAGAACTCTTGGATCATCCAGCCTTTTCCTCATATTCTTCAAAGCAACAGCAAGTTCCTCTCCGGATAGTGTATCTTTGAGTTTTTTAAGATCCGCTAAAAATTTTTCTTTTATATGGACTCTGTAACAAGGCAACAAAAAGAATGAATGATAAATAGTTTCATTATTAATGTTCCAAGATGTCACATTAAAGTTTCGAAAAAAGCAAAAGGCTAAATAAAACAGAATAAATTTACTAAAAATGTAAAAATCTGGTGTGGTATGTACAATCACTTACCACCTTACTTTGGATAGAAATAAATATTTCATACATAGAGAAGTGAAAGTAAAAATCATAGACAATACACCATGAATTTAGCACTTATAATTTTTTATAAAGGGACAACAGTCCCAGAATAATAAAATACATTTTCATTTCATTTCATATTAATTTAAATCAATTAATGACCATATTTATGCTTTTTTTTCAGAGTTAATTTCCTTCCACAGCTGTATTAGTCCATGATATAGATCCATTTTTATCAAATTATTAACATCTGGCTCAAACTTCATAACTAGCTTCATCGTAAGCTACTACTATTTTATTAACGAAAACTCTTGGAATACTTTGTCTATTTAATTAGGTACTAAAAATTCGTAAATACCCACTTGCTTACCACTTTAGTAGCTAGATAACTTGAGCACAAAGTCGAATATATTATTACGGGAGCACACACTTTTCTCATCTATGATATGGCAATATTATATAAATATTATTATGAATGAGAGCCTTTCAATGACAATGAGTGAGAAAAGTGGAGGATGGAATACTTTTCATCACCTCTACTGATCACTTATGCATTTTAATTTAAGGTATCGTTCCAGAATGCCCATAATCTCCAGCCACAGAAAAATTACCTACTGCTCCTTATGGGAAGGCTGCAAGATAGTTTAAAAGTATAATTGATCACTGAGCATCCTGCCGTTTAACGAGAAAGAGCCAAACAGGCTCTCGACTCATATATGAGTCCACCTTCGTCTGAGGCCTATTCCATGTCGACTCATATATAAGTCCACCTTCGTCTGAGGCCCATTCCATGTCGACTCATATATAAGTCCACCATCATTAAAGGGTTAACCTCGGGAGATTAAGCAAGAGGTTAATATCGATGTCTAGCTCGAGCGCACTTGGGTGTCTTCATTAGTTCTTAATACCACCTACAAGCTTTTACTTCTCAAGTTTATTATCGATTTCTTTCATAGTTTACAATTTAACCACTTTTTATTATTAGTTACAATGTGAAATGGTTAATTGTTTTGGATCCCCTTCTATTTTGTATGGTAAAAATATAAGCTTTTTTAACTTAATAAATAACCAAACAGCTTTAACACAAATTTTGTAGATTAAAACAGTTTTGTAATAGTTTTACATTATGATACAAAAAAACTAGTCAACTTTAATTATTTAAAAGCATATATTCAACTACTTTTTGTACGATGAAAAAAAATAAAACACCAATTTTATAATATCTCAATATTTTTTCAACTCTTGGCTTTAGTTGTAGTTTAACTATCATTAACTTAACTACAGTGTAGTAATAAAGTATACGACAAGCAGCCTAGATCTCTACATTTATCAGCTGTTTGATAAAATATAAAATTAATTATTCTTCCTAGAGAATCCATAACTGACATTTCAAATTGGTTCAGGAAAAGATATGTAAAATAATGAAAACCTTGAAACTATCTTTCTTACTTAGCTTGTACTTCAACATCACGAAGCAGCTTAGTAAGTTTGACGTTCAACGAAAGTGCAGGTAGATCCAAAGGCAAATCTTCTTTTCTAGGTCCTCCAGGATTTGTACAGAGGACTGCTCCAGAGTCCGAGAGCCGGTAACAGATAAGCGTATAAACGCCACATGTAAGCTATTGAAAATAAAACACAAATTAATAACAAAAAAAAAACAACATAAAATAACATAACTCAAATTTATATTGAGATTAAATAAACTATTAAATAGATATGAAAAATAAACCTTAAGACGTATCGTAGCTTCAGTATCTATATCATTGTAGATCAAAATGTTTTCTTTCATCCTAAAACTTTCTCGGACACCTAAGTGATAAAAAAGAGCTCTCTGTTGTTCTTGTATAGAAAGGTCGACGATTGCAACATCTGCATTATAAAAACTAGTCAGGACATTCGATTCTCCAAAATCCAATATTTCAAACTATATAAAAAAAAAAAATACCAATCTTACTAAAATAGGTTTTTTAATGATACCGTCAATGCAAATGCTATGTAAACTATTGAATCTGAAAATCACCACTTTTCAGGAAATGAAAAAACACTTGCAATATCATTATCAATTTAGCCCAAACACCCATGAGCATGTTTTAATTTTTGCACTAATATGTACTTTTATGAATCTTTGAAGAATTTGTATTCATTGTTTATTGAATTGAATAAACCTTCATTCATTCATGATTTGAAATATAAATTCTTCACTTTTTTCAATGCAAAGTAATGAATATTTCATAAACTAATGAATATAAACTAATTTGCATTGCATAATGTAAGACAATCCAGTAAATAACTGTCAATGCAAAGTAAACCTTTAAAAATCGAGTGCAATGCACCATATTTTCAGTACATAAATATTCGCGATTTTGCATATAAAAAAATAAAATTTGAAAAATACTCATTTTTCAAATATTTTTCTGTTAAGTTGGTTATAAACGTGTTTTTCATCCATATCTCTATTGTAGGAATCGATCTGTATTTATAAATGACAAAATAAAAGTTTTCAATCCTAAAATTTATGTTTAAAGTAAAAAAAACTGCTGATAGCTTCAACTATTTTAATTAAAACGTTAATATTAGGATCAGCAACATTTAGTAAGTCATATATAAATACGGATCAATTCTTATAACAAAGATATGGGTGAAAAACACAGTTTATAATTTACCAGAAAAATAGATGAAATTTTTAACAAAATTATTTTAAGATTCTTAACATGGTAATGTAAAGATTTGAGGTATTTTGTGTATTTTTCTCCCTTTTTAAAGTAAAAAAAGCATCATGATTCAAATCAAGTTAAGGTGGAGAACATGATAACAGCAATATGTAAAAATATAAATATTTGAAATGTACAAAACATTTCAAATTTAAAACCTACGAATTATTAAAAAAAGTATTATAAAATTAAAAACATCACCTGAATATGTTGTAGTTGACCATAAACTGAAACGCAAGAATGTTTAACTTCCTCAAATGCTTTTTTCCTCTGAGCCAAATTTCCTGGTTGGGTAAGGTCAATAACGCAAACTACATCCATTCTATTCACTCTATGTGTAGACACCTCACTATTGTGGCTGATGACGCTTTCAGCCACGCTTCGATTATCTGGTGCCAGAAGGTGATCTTCTTTGGCTGAATATTAAAAGTAAAAAACGTACAATAACATTAACTAATAAAAATTACAAGGTTTAAAAATGACAACTACACAATTTTAAACTGAAATATTGAAAGATAATGGAAAAAATTAAGTTCATAAACTGTAATAGAACCTAGAAGTTTCTATACTCTATAAAATTACATATGATATGGTAGTTAATTTATACATGAAAAACAAGATTAATACACGGTTAGCTCACAAATGGTACGCACAGATTAGGCTTAGTTCACAATCACTTTGGTCACACTTGTTTAGAGCCGAATGTTGAAAACTGTTGTGAGTTCAGCCCTTACCCCCACCTACCCGTTCCCTTATTCATTCTTCCTCTCCATGAAACTTCCTAGAAACTGGAATCTGGAAAATCCATACACTCATTCGCCAGTTTTAAGAGGAAAAGAAATGGAAGGTTTTTCATTACTACACTTCTTAAATGTTTCTTATTGTATGATTAAGTTGATCTATACTGTCATATTATAATTTATGTCATAATTTTAATCACTATCATTTTTACTGAATCAATAGCTTTGACTCTACACAACCATGAATGCCTCAATATTATGCAAACGCCACTGGTAGGACAAATATCAGATCAAATCAACAAAGATGCTGTAAAGGTGCATGGAGATAACTGGAAAGAAATAGCCCAAGATAGGCAGAGATGGAGAAGGCTGATCAAGGCAGCAAATGATTAACAAGATTTTTAAAGCCTTAGTTGGAAGGTTTTTTTTTTTTTTTGGTTTTTTTATTATTTTGTTTAATAATCAGAAAAATAGACCGAAGTTGTAGTCAGTCATAAAGAAAACATTTGTGTTTATTTCAATTTAATGCCAAGGATCCTATTAAGGATTACAGCTGAAAAAGATTATCTGAAAATTTCATAATACTGTATAATGGAACTTATTATAATAAAAAATATAAATTGTGAAATATCATTCAGTAACATAATAAATAACAGTTATTATCTATTACCATTTTCTTTTTGCAGCTGTATAATATATGTATAAGCTCAATTAAAGGCATATGATGAATCCCAAACATTGCGTATAAGTTTTATCAATCTGTAGAATTGCATTTGGTCAAGAGTAAACAACTACTTGAATGACCGGTAAGTTATTTATAATTAACTCAATAGATCGGTTGTCTCCTTACTCTTTCAGACAAACATGGGTATTTTCAGCATTCTAAGAACAAGCGCGGTAGAAGTGATTGCGATCCAAATCTAATTCGTGCGAGCACTAGTTAAGCAATACTAAATATACAATTTATAGTTTAAAAATCATATTCACACCAAATAAAATGTTATAATGGATCCTACATCAATTATTAGGACTAGTCCAGAAGGGACAGATGGATCAAGATTTCATTGATCATTCTCTCTCCCAAAATGGTAAAATATAACCATGTCTTATAAAAAAATTATCTATAAAAGTATTATTGTTCGTGTAATTACATTTAATAGGACTTCAAGAACACTTAAACAACATTTCATATCGGTAGTTAGTTTCTTTCTTCTTCTTCCATAGTAATTATCATTGCACATAAAACATTCGAGCAGAAGCTCCTCCCTCCAAAATTGAATTCCGGATCAGCTAGAGTTTAGCATAAATCGAATTAACACAGAAAATGAATACAAAAGGCCTTTAGTGATATCTATAAGTTCGATTAAAGTTACATGATTTAGACTATATCTCTCAGAAAATTCCGTGAATGAGCCGATGGCACATGCTGTGTAAACATACATTGCTTAGAGTATAAAAATACTTTAATGCCGATAAAGTTATTGGTAACTGACTCAGAGATCAGTAGCCTACGTTCTCTTTCGGATAAACCCGGAAGCTTTCGTCACTCCATGAACAAGTGTGATCAAAGTGATTGTGAACCAAGCCTAATCGGAACTAGTACTGAAGTTGTTTTTCTGTGCAAACTTCTACAGTGTAACATTTTTTTAAGAAATACTTCCACGATTCAGGATTTTGACATCAAGGACAACAATAATTATAACTATATTATAAGATAAAATCCTAGAAAACCTAGCCACAAAAAACAATTTCATCTGTGAAAAAATAAAAAAAGTGGGTTGTAATAATTTCAGTGATAGTGTATGGTCATAACAACTTATTGTTAGATTTATCTGTGAGGAATAAATTAATACTTTTAAAACTTGAAACTGTACATAAATAAATCAAAATAAAACACACTCACCATTATTATCAGGGTCGTTAACATTGGGAGGAGATGGCATTTTTGTAAACTCTTATCATTAAACTTAACTGTAATCAAAAATGTTTATAAACAAAATGATAAAAATTCAGAGTATAATTGAATATTCATACTACAACATTTTAGCTGTAAAGATAATATCTATCTCTAAAATTTATAAGATTTGAGAAATACATTAGTTTTTAGTTAAATTAATAATATTTTGTGACAAATATGTTATTTCTTAAACACTGATACCCAACTGATACCTCCCCACTATCAAAGCAGTGTTGTCCCTAATAAAAAGAAAATATTACTTGATAAGTCTTCTATCGGTGAAAAGTCAGTAAAAATTATAAAAACTAAAGTTTATCATGAGCATAAAAATAATATTGTCGAATTATTTATGTCTGGTTAGAAATAATTTTAATTATTCAAACTTTCGGTTTTTAATTCGTTAATTGCAAACGACTTTTATAAAATCAGCTTTCAGTTTGTTTTTTTCATGGTTAAATATCAATCTTATAATAATGTTTAAAAAGTATAGCCGAACATTTTGTCAAGATAAGCTAGTTGTAAAGTGGTCCACCCCAATGGGTAGCGCTGAATATTTCTTGACGTGTAATCTTACTGCGCCTGTGCAGTTCTGCCTTACGTGGCAGGGGTAGTGGAGTGGTGCTACTGCAGCTGATATTTGTAGCTTATAATATTTAGTTTCGTGTTTTTTTTTTGTTTTGTTGAAATTATGAAGATTGTTAAGTTTTAAATTCCATACAAGTGAAGGCAAGGTATGTCTGTTCATGGTGAATTGTCTCGACTGTCCACAAGTCCAACTAAACAGTGCAGTTAATACTAACACATTCATTTATTTGTCAACAGTGCTTAATCTATTTCTTATATTATTATTGTATTCAGAACTCCTAGATACATTTTTATCTCTGAAGTGTAATCTTACATTTCGTTTAATTGTTTCTTGTTTTAGTTTATTTATTAGAAATACAGATATCACTTTTGACAGTATTATCTCCAGGAATTTGTGTCTTTTGATTAAATTTATTCGTTGATATTTTAACCTGTCATTTAATTACCTTACTTTTGCTTTTAGTTACATAACAAATAAAACTAATATGAACCTATTTTGCTGACTAGTATCCTCGCTACTTTTAGAGAAAAGTTAAGATTAAGAATTGTTCATTTTCCAACCTGTTAACTTTACATTTTCTCTTTATTCTATGTTAACATCATAGGTGTTTATGTTTGAAACCTGTTTCTCTTAAATATTGTGTAAATTAATCACTTGAATATTTTGTGACAACTCTTCATTCGAAATACCATATGTTCTACTTGTCACAAAAAAAATACAAGTAATCGCAGTTTTTGCTGATTTGGCCCTTTTCTCTTGTTCAAAGCACTCTATTTATTAACGTATCACCCGTCCAATAATTTCGCCATTTGAGAATAAATTTTTTACATTTGTGAAAAACTAGGTGAGTTAATTTACATAGATAATGACCTTGTAAATATTAGAGATGAATACATACGATTTTCATAGTTATGATTAGGATATGATAAGAAAACAAATTTTAAGTTACCTAGCAAAGTTAATATTTTTTACTTATCTAGTTTTTCACAATCTTCTACTAATCTAATAGCACGGCATTTTTACAGATAACAGTTTATTATATATACATATAAATAAATATTTTAATCCATTAGGAGTTATATTTTTTTATAATAGATTCTAATGTTAAGCATTATAATTTTTGGTTAGCTAATTTTAATATTATTTATTCTATAAAAAATTAAATATTTATATAATTTTTCACCATTAGACTTACAAGATGAATCCTCAGTATGTATCACAGTCTGGAGGTTACGGACCTCATCAAGGTTATGGCGTTCCAAATTCGCCTCCACCAACAGCTGCAAGCCCTCTTCAACAGAATGCTTTTCCACCGCAACAAAGTTATTCTGGTGGGTTCAATTATTTTATCTTTACTAGTATTTATATTCAACACTTTGATTCTCAGGAAGTATATGATAACTTTAAAAAATATGAGTTTATAAAAAATAAAAATAAATATATTTATAAACTCTACCTATGCAATTCGATTCGCAGAAACCAAAGTCTGGATAAAAGAGAAGGTTTGAAGGGGGGCTAACCACCCCTTATAAAGGAAATATAAATTACTACTTCTCAGCAGTCTAGCCTCGGATTTCAGATGGATTTATGTAGACAATCTGAAACTCGTATTATAGTTTACAAGATGGGAACATGGAATTTAAGGTCACTTTATAGACCTGGAGCATTCACGGAACTGAAAAATCAACTACTGGAAGTTAGATATAACTGCAATCCAGGAAGCTTCAGACCAGTTTTAGGAAGCTTCGATTTCAGGGATCAGGAAGGGATTTCGATATCTTCTGCAGACAAATTTAGGATGGTCGCAGTGTCCAGCAGACTCGCTATTGACCATAATAATGACTGGTAAAAGGCAATTGAGAGGGCCAAGTACAGCTTCAGGGGTATGTCGAGCCGATAAAACAACAAAACATTTACTTTTCATAAATTATAATTAGTAATTAACTAATTTTATTTTATACTCCTTTTGATTAAGTTATGGTTATGTATTCAAAATAAACAGTACAACTTGAGATAGAAATACATAGCTGCTAACATAAAATGACAGCTTATTTAAAAGTTAGGCAAAGTAATGCATCGATTATTTGTCTAATTTGTAATGAATATATTTTTGTCTTAAAGTGTATTCTTAAAAGTGTTTGCAGACAGGCATAATCTGTAAATGATCTAACAGATAGTGATGTTTCATGTTTTTTATCTCCATTAGTCATATATTGTTAAAGGTATGCCAATGTTTTGTTTTTTCGACAAGGTGTTTCAGAAAACATTTTCTTGGCAAAGACAAAATTATGGACTTTCGCCAAAGAACTTAAAAAAGTATAAAAATAAAACAAATAACATAAAGAAAGGGAGATTATAGCTAAAATCTATATATCCCTTTGGCTGGAGTATTATTAGTCAGTTATATATTTTTTCTGAATTATGATGATTTTAACTAAAATAATTCTAATAGCAATCTATTTATTATTTATTAATTTAAAATTCATATTATAAATTATACTAATTTTGCAGTAGAAGTAGACCTTTACTCCTCACCCAGAAAATTTTTATTTATTTTCTAATTTTTTTTTTTTTCCCTATTTTAATAACTCGACTATACATTATTTCAATTAAAGTACTGATGTGTATTTATTTGTAATTTGATATATTTATATTCATGAATTCCCACTTTTATAATTGGAATTTCTAAAAATAATAAATAAAAAATTAATACCATTTGGAGGTCTTGTGATACTATTTGTATCACATTACACGAATACAAGAGGCCCTCCTGAAAAAAAAATCCTTTTGTTAGAATCAACACTAATTATACACAAAATGAGTTCTCAGGACGTTTACCAAACCTGGAATACTTGGAAAAAATCAAAGAATTGAATAAAATACAAAAAGTCAAGAAATACAATATAGAGGATGCGGGTGTCAATTTTCTGTTATAATTTAAAATCATTATTGGCCAAAATAAGTTTGCATAATGTGATGTATTTTCACCAGTATACATATGACACATTAAATGTAATACAATGTGTTCATTGATTTTTTGTGATAAATAATAATTGTTATTTTTACATAAGCAAAAAAATTTCGTTCTACGATTTTACATATCATAACTGTCTATAGAAAATCTTATAAACTTAAAAAAACATATGTTTATCTGTGATTTTTTCCCCTACTATTATTAAAATTGTTTATCAAGAAACTGTTTCAGTGTGAAGAAAGGCATTTTGGTTTGTATTTTTATGCTAAAAAAGGCTATTATGTGTTTCTGAAATAAATTAATAAATTTGCCAAAGAACTTGAAGAATCTTTTCACAAGAAAGTTATCCTGCTATGGATTGCTGGACACTGCGGCCTCTCTGGAAACAAAAGGGCAGACCAGCTGGCAAGGGAGGGTTCTCAAGTCTACAGTTTGACTGTAAGCTCAGCCTGGACAAGGTTAAAACAATTGACAAAGCTAATGTTAATCAATGTTGGATCAGAAATCATCTACATCACGACTCTAGAGATGCTATCCATGGACTGAATCGAAGAGAGCAGGTCTTAATCTTTCGCTTCCAAACGGGACATAACAGGCTTAAGGCCTACTTGGTCAGAATGTTTAACATTGGCTCTAGTCCCCTCTGCGAATGCAGAATGCGGAGCAGATTCTGCAAATGTGCAGGATCTATTCTCAACAAAGGAGACTGATCTGGCCTTCTCCAACTGAAGTGGAAAGAAAGCTATATAAAAATCTGGATGACCTTAAGAGGACTAATGAATTCTTCATTTTATTTTCTGATCTCGCCATCTAAGGGAAGAACACAGAAAAAGAAGAATTAATAAATTGCAGATGGTGTTCCTATTGCTGTTAGTTTAAAATAGGCTGTTATTTTTATTGATATGGACGAGTTCCTGTGCTCAGCGCTGAGTTAAGGAACTTTGCCTTTGCCAAAGAGAGAGACGTTTAATTTAGTTTTATAAGAACTGCATTGAAGATGTAGGCTGCATTACATTATAAAGCCGAATTATTATTAATAAATTTAGTTAAGATCCAAACATTTTTTTTCTCCCTCCTTTCTGATAAAAGAAAATGAATTATATTTATCGACAGTAAATTGTAAACCAACCTGTAAACTTGGAGTAAAACATTAGTTAACCCGTTAAAGAAATTTAACGGGTTAACTATTTATTTCAGAACTTATTTAAAATGTAAATATATATATATATTTTTTTAAACAATTATTTATTGAATGAAACGTTATCACTGAAGGCCTCTATTTATAATTCATAATTTTTCATTATGAATATTATTTAAATTCATAATAATGAAGGCTTAAATTCATAATTTTTTTTTTCATAATTCTTCCAAAATTATGATGGAATATCTTTATGGAACAAGTCATTCTAATACTTTTGTCAAATTTTTATGTTGCATATTTGATCTTTGTGAGTACAGAACCATCATTATGGATGAAAACTTAATCCTAAGTATTTGTGGCTGGGGGTGGATTAATGTTAGAGGCTCCTTAAAAAAATTTATTTTTTTTAATAAATGATCGTTCTCATCTGGAAAAAAATAATGCATGTAATGTTTTGAAGCAAAATTATTTAATCAAGAAAATATAAAATTAAATCCCTCTAGTATTTGAAAAGATGCCATTAGAAGTTAAAATAACTTTTTAAATTATACAAAAATCGATAATATGTAAAGCATAAATAGTGAAATATATACATAATGTATGTATTTATAGTTCAATATTTTATCTTAATTACCTTCTTTCACTATTTGTTTACATATCATACTTCTTAAGGCCTTACTTATTAATGTTGCCCATCTATAAAGTTTAAAAACATGAAATAAATTGGAAAAATTGACTCCAATAGTATTGTTATCAGATGTATCGATTTTTGGACATAAATGTTTTCCCACAGTAATTTTTCCTTTATAATGAAAAATTGGCTCATCTACTTGGCTCAGAAATTGATCTTGTGTATGTGGATGGAATCAGCTGATTTGTAATTTTGTCCCTGAACCCCAGTTCATGGCTGATGAAAGCTATAAAAGATGAAAGTTAATATTTTTAGGATATGATGAAACTGTGACATCATTCATTTAAAGATGTATATTTATTCAATTATATTTTTCTCAAGCCAGGGGGTCGTAATTAAAAATTATTTTAAAGAATACTAGCTGAAAACATTAATTATTTGATTTAATAGAGCTCTTCACTGAGCCAAATGAAAGTTGGAGAGGAAGTATTAGGTAGCTAGATGACTTAATCAAGTTAAGATTAAAAAGAGGAATTCTTATTGTCTGAATATAATTCTATTCGGTCTTAGCTTGTGATTTATATTACCTAGTATATTTGTAGAAAATATATATTTAATTTTAAAATTGAAAAAACAAATCTCAAAGATCAATATCCCAATAAAATAATTCAAAAAATCCAACTAACTTTTTATCACAGTCTTGTTTACACAGTTAGAATTAGAAATCAGACCAGCAATAATAATTTAATTTAAAAAGAAAAAGTTCATTAATCGCTTTGTTTACTTTTTCTATACTTTATGTAGATATTAATTTTTTTATTGTTTTATTTTGTACGATCAAAAATAAGTATTAGTTGTAATGAGATAATTCTTCACAGCAGTTTATATATCAAAAGCCATGTTCTAGAAGCTTATCAGTGCAAACATTTATTTAATACTTATGTGAGGAAAAAAAAAATTATAAATTTTATTTTATGAATTTGATATTTCTGAATATACAGGAGGTCAAGATTTACCAGAAAGGAGCAAAACCTAATTTTTCAATAACATTTTTCTTTCAGACTTTTGAAGCATGGCTATTGATGTATTTGTATATCATCATTCTCTGCTTATTAAAATAACATTTTAAATATTTTAGGTATCCCTTCTAAAACAGCAGCGCCTTCTGCATTTGCTCAGCCTTACCGACCAGCTGCGAATTCCCCTGCCAACATGATGCCACCACCAATACAGGGCGGTCCGCAGCATGGTGGTCCAATGTCACCTCAACAACACGGTGGTCCAATGCCTCAACATGGTGGTCCAATGCCTCCTCAACAACATGGTGGTCCATTGCCTCCTCAACAACAGAATAGTCCAATGTCTTTGCCCCCTCATCATCAGAGTGGTCCAATGTCACATCTACAACAGAGTGGTCCCTTGCCACCTCAACAGAGTGGTCCTATGCCACCTCAACAACATAGCGGTCCAATGCCATCTCCACAACAGAGTGGCCCAATGTCCCCTCAACAACAAAGTGGTCCAATGCCACCTCAACAGCAGATTGGTCCCATGCCTCCTCAACAACAGAGTGGACCAATGCCACCTCAAAAACAGAGTGGACCAATGCCACCTCAACAACAGAGTGGACCAATGCCACCTCTACAACAGAGCGGTCCAATGCCACCTCAACAACAGAGCGGTCCTATGCCACCTCAACAACAGAGCGGTCCCATGCCACCTCAACCACAGAGCGGTCCCATGCCACCTCAACAACAGAGCGGTCCCATGCCACCTCAACAACAGAGCGGTCCCATGCCACCTCAACACCATGGTGGTCCAATGCCTCCTCAACAGCACGGTGGTCCAATGCCTCCCCAGCAGCACGGTGGTTCGATGTCCAACAACTTCCAGCCACCGTCTAGTAACATTCCTCTAGGATACAACTCAGCACCTTCTCACCCTGGAGCACTACCTGCCAGAGGAGCTCCACCGATGCCTTTGCCTGTTAGCTCTCCTGGTCCTGGAGGACCACAACACCCATCTATGTATCCTCCGGGATCGCAGCAGATGGGCAGGCCACCAATGCCACAGCTCAACCAACTTGCAGGGCAGATGTCTACCATGAACATAAATGGGCAGCCAATGCCGCCTATGGTAATTTCCTTATTGTTCGTATTCTGAAATTACTTATAGAAACATAATTTTACTATAGTATGCTGTTATATCCTAGAAAAAGATGCAAGCTACAATTGTTAATATTTAAAACGTGTTCACGTTAGCCATAAATTTCACTCTACCATTTCCTAAATTTTTTTTAGATTAACATTAACATTAATCGATGTGGCTACAGCATTAGATTGTGTTTATCCGACATTTCACATCAACTGGGTTTGTGAATAGTTATTACTTAAGCAAATAAATAGGAGGTTTCTTGTATAGTTTAATTTATTTTATTTTACCCAAATATTCAGTGAACAAAGGACTAATTTTTAGAAGAAAAAATATTTATGTTATCGTTTTTAAATAAATAATATTTAATTGATAGATATATGCATGTAAACATATATATTAAAAAATACAGCTCCCTCTGTCTGTGATAAATATATCATTCATAATAAAGAGGGTAACTGACTCCTTATCTTTCTCTCTTATCTCATATCGCTGGTTGCTATAGTGATCTCTTTGATGCTCTTGCCGTATTATTTTTTTTACAATTATTATAATTTTCAATATAATAAAATAAATAAAAATGTTTTGGAATTTAAAATGAAATTATTGTAAGGTTTATTAAGTGTATCACTGAGTTGGATAGGACTTTTTAAAAAATGATCAATATTTAAACACTGTATAAATTAAGGTTAAAGAACATTTAACCCATTGGTACCAATATATTTTAGTGTGGCTTCCTTACATGATAAAATGCTAAATAAAATTGTTTTTTTTTTTAATAATTGGGGCAAGCATACATAGCTAACGAAATTATTTGTCTTTTTTGGCTTATGCTGCCGTAATTACTATAGCTCTCTAACTTCTCTGGATTTTTGGAAAAATTAAAACAGCATTTTATGTTTTTTTTTTTTAATATTTCAGAGTCAGCAACACCCTGGAGAGTATCCAGGAGGCGGTTTGCAAGGCCCACCATCTATGGGATACGCTCCTCCAGGGCAGCTTTCTAGATACCCAGCTGTTAATGGTGGCCCACCGAGTCAGACGATGAATGGCCTTCCTGATACAAGTGGTCCTGGCAGGCCTCCTCAATCCAGATATCCTCCTATGCCTGTATGATTTATTTTTTAAATAAAATTTTCATCATCTTAAATTTCTTGAGTTATAAGTAGATAATTGAATAGAATACAGTTGAAAAGAAAATTTTAAAATATCTACTTTATTGGTATATTTATGGTGATAGTTCCGTTTCACTACTCCAAGATGCCAGCCAGCTTCTAGATCACTCAGAGCTCCCTACTCTGAAGTCCTGAAATTAGTGAAATCCTTTTTAAAATTTGTATCTTTGTTTACTTTTAAGGATTACTTAAGAAATTATAACTGATGTAACATATGTATATATACTTATTTTATTATTATATATTTATAGGAATCGGGAGGAGGACAAACTACGGCATACTTACCTTCACCGCAGCAGGGCTACCCCCCACAACCTGGGTTCCCTTCTCAACCACAACCCGGCTATCCTGGTGGCATTGGGCAACAGCAATATGCTCAGCAACAACGCAGGCTCGACCCAGACCAGATGCCCAGTCCGGTTAGTTTACTACTTATATCCTTTTATGATTATTTATTTGTTTCACTTTCTCAATTATCTGATATAAGATATATTTAATTTTAGTGAAATAATATTTTTACTTAGGAGTGCTTCAAATTTTTTTAGTATTTCTCCACTTAACCAAGAAATCTGGTAATCTAGTACTCTCAATCCCGATCTAGTCCTGGATTAGTGTGATCCTCATATGTTATTACCGTATTTTTTTATTAATAAAAATATATATATATATACTGTTAGGGTACGTTTCCTTTGAAAAGTAAAAAAAACAGTTTCTGAACCAAATTATTTTTATTTCACACAATGAAAATTTTAAAGACTACAAATTATTTCTCAGATTGGATTGAGACAATTAAGCACACATTGCTCAATTATATAATATAAAAGCGTACATTAAATTTATATATAACATTTATGGATTTCCATTCAGTTTTGTCAGGGTCTACTCTTGGTTCTGTTTCTAATTGTCATTATTTATTTTGCACTCAACCTGTTCTGCAGTGAATTTTCCTTCAGTTGTTGTTGAAGGTATTGCTGTATACAACTTGTTCAAATGTCTTCTGTTAATCTTCATTTTCCTGTGCTCATCTAGACACTCGCTACTTTTTTTTTTTTTTTTCCTTCCTCGTCTTTAAGGGTTATACGGGAGTTTTCCCGAGCCAGGGAGTGTGGGCGGGATTTAAAAACTCCGGGCATCAGGACATGAACTTGTGATATGATAACAATGATTTATTTTTATTTTATTTAGAATTTTATAACTCAAATGCATTATAAGTTTTTATATATATTGTCTTCATGGAATATATAAGTTTTTAATTCTACTTACAACTACGGTTCGAGCTGATTAGCTCATTATCAAGTCATCTGTAAATAACAATTAACAAAGATAATTTATAACAATAATCGCTCATTATCTAGTCATATAAAAAGTGAAAAATAACCTAAAAATTTGTATCTACTAAAATGTATTTCTATATTATAATTTCATTGAACAACTATTTCAACATTGGTATTACACCCAATACTAAAAATAACCATATTCCTTGTCTCCTTGTTTGCGCATTTATTGATCCTTGTCATTCTACAATACAAATTTTTGTAGGCGATTATTTCAGAACTTATACGATTTCTATTATTTTTTTTTATTTAAAATGTATGCTCACCTCGTACGGTACTACCTCCTCCCTCTATTGTTTAACATTGATTGCACATTTGAGCTCTTTGGGGATGTATGGCCCTGTAGGAAGGAATTAACTAAATAAGTGAATAGGATATAGCTCTATTGCTGTTAATTATTTTGCAATGACCTATCTAATTAAAAATTGATCTAATTTAATATATGGACCTAATGTTGGCCTATATTTTTAACATCAGATTTAAAATTGACTGTGTTATTTATATTTGTAGTAATATAAATTGATTCTAGGGTTTTTCTAATTTTATTTTTTTTTTTTTTTTTGTGTGTGTTGTGTTTAAAATTTTTATATTATTAAAATCAAATATTTATATGCTTATTTAATAAGCTGTGATAGGATAAAGCTGTGGATTTTTTACATTAGTTTTGTATTGTTTTATTCTGTTTCTTAAATTTTGTGATGTTTCTCCAATATAATGTTTAGGACATTGTATACAAGAAATTTTATATATCACGTCTTTTTTATCTATTGAATTGATTCTATCTTTCATATTGGATGTATGTTTTTCCAGTTTGTTATCAAGTAGAATAAAAAAATAATATAGTGTAAGGGCTTCTATATTCCTTGAAGACACCATATATAAGAACATCGAGTGCCCTTGAAAAGTACTACTGTAGTAGCTAAATGTACGTATTAAAAGTTGTTTTTTTTTAAACTATATTATATTGGAAGTAGGAATATGGTTTGAAGTGTACCCAGGGGAGTCTAGTGTTTACATCCATGTATCACTTTCTCACTAGCAAATGCAGAGAAGTATATTTTCATGTGGAAGTTTAAAAAAAAATTGTACTCAGAATCAAAATTTCTTCTCTTTTTTTACATTTTGGACATTAAAGAACAAATTTGGTTCTTTGTTTGTCTGTAGTCAAACCCATGTGACGGGCATATCACCTACTACTGTTAATCCAATTTTGATAAAATTTTCAGGGATTGTGCGGGTTGGTACCTAGTTGATTCCATATCAGTTTTATTAAATTCCATCCATTACCCCTGCTTCTGTATACACAAATGTATTATATGGAAAATGGGACTTTCGTTGATTTGTCTCAAAATTGGATAGAGGTTAAGGATTAGTGACAAAATATCAGTATCAATTACCATCCCCTATTTTCATTTTTATAGAACGTTTTTTCCTCTCCATGCTCACATTTTAAAAATGGTTTATTCGATTTGGTCCTAGGTTGAAGGAAATTTGTAGAATACAAGTGGTCTGGTATAATTTCCATCAATCTCTGACAATTAAAATTAATTTAATTGTTAAGAATATAATAGCTATATAATATTGATTTTAATTTGTAAAATTGTTATTATTTTATTAGATGCAAGTAATGGAAGATGACCAGAAGACAAGATCGGGAGTATTCTACACCCACCAGAAAGGCCAAGTTCCTCCCCTTGTTACAACAGAATTCATTGTTCAAGATCAAGGCAATACCAGCCCTAGGTTTATGAGGTCTACGATGTATAACGTTCCTATAAATTCTGATATGATGAAACAGGTGAACATTTATGATATATTTATTTTCTATTTGTCCTAGTTAATGTTTATTTTGTATTAAATAGCTGATATATTATAGTCATTAAATGGCTAAATTAAAAACTTTAAATTAAAAAAAAATTTGTTAGGCCTCTGTGCCTTTCGGTTTAGTATTGAGCCCTATGGCAGAAGTCGCAGATAAAGAACATCCTCCTCCACTGGTTTCTTTCGGCGAGGTCGGTCCAGTCAGATGTATCCGTTGCAAGGCGTACATGTGCCCGAACATGCAATTCATAGACGGAGGTAGGCGCTTCCACTGTCTTCTCTGCAAGGCCACTACTGATGGTAGGTATCTTTAGATAAAATTAGTTACATCTATTTTAAGTCTAAGGGCCGGTTGAACTGACCGTTGTTAACTTTAATTTTATTAAATTTGTTTATTTAATTAGTAATTAACAAAAATTTCATTGCACTAGCCTTGATTAGTCTTAACATTAGATCAAATAATTATGATTAGCTAACTAATCATAAGAATTTGATTAGATCTTTAATTAATGTTAAAGTGTTTGCTTATTTTTGGTTACCTCTAACTAAATACTAATTGTTCAAGTTCCATTTCACTGGAACAATTTTTTTACAGTTGATTGTTTTTGGAAATAGTGTTTTGTTTTATGATCCAAAAAAATCGAGAAAAATATGTATGATGTCATCTGAAGAATATTTGTCAGATGATCCCAAAAAGAACTAATAAGGAGTAAGAAATTATCCGTTTGATGTTTAAATATGTCTCTAAATCTTTTATTTCAGTCACTGAGGATTTCCGAACAATTTCCAAAAATGTTGTCACAAATAAAGTTACATCACACCTTAACCCTAGTTAACTAACCCGGGCTATAAATTGATTGTAGCAACAGGGACAAAGCTTTTACTATGGTTAATTTTTAACTGGAGTTAGTTAACTGAGAATGTTAACTTTAATCATGGCTGTCGGTGTAACCGTTCCTAAAAAAATAATTTTTATAATATAAAATTGACTCAAAGATTTTAGAGAGAGGACTACAAAGAACAGTTGAATCCTCTCTGAGCAAATACATTATGGATTCAGGCCAAATAGGAGTACCCAGGATCTCATATTTACATTAAGACAAATTTCTGAGAACTTAGTCGAAAGAGACAAAGAGATATATGCTTGTTCTGTGGATCTGGCTAAGGCATTTGACCAAGTGAAGAAGCAAGACATAGCAAATGCCTTAGAAGACAAAGGAATTGAAACAGGCCTTCATAAGGCAATTCTAAGTCTTAAAGAAATGTGAGAACATGCAATAATTTATCAAAATAGTTCAGAACTAAACAAGACATTAGGCAAGGGTGCAGTTAAGTCCTGTGCTATTTACACTATTGCTAAACAATGCAATAGAAATAGCAAAACAAAATATGATGCCCTATCAGATGGGATACAGAAATCTATAACTCTCTCTGTTCAATTACGCAGACGACTTGGTGGTTTTCAGAATCAATGAGCGAAACCTTCAATTCAACCTTCGCATCCTTCAGGAAGAATTAAATAAGATAAATGTGGAAAAAACCAAAACTATGAGGATTTACAGAAGATAAGGAAGATGTGACAGAATAGTGCACTTGAGTAGAGTTCTATTAGAACAAGTAAAAAATTTTAAATACCTCAGTACTCACATCAATGAACGAGGAAGGTGCCATCAAGAAAAGATTCTTGAACATGTGAGACGTGAGCAGAGAGACCAAAAGACTGTATACAAAAATACTTTCCTCCCTATAATGATCTACTCTGAGTCATGGACGCTCACCCCAAAACACATCAGTCAGAAGAAAACCTCAGGGAAGGCCCAGGAAGTCTTGGTTGGTCGGTGTCAAGGAGACCTTTGACAAAAGAGTTATTGACTGAAGGAGGAGGCAGCAGTTGGCCCAGGATCGGAAATTGTGGTTTTGACTCTACAAGAACGCACCTCACACCGTTCAGCGTTAGAAGAGAAAACGATTAAGAAGGTGAAGAAGAATATAATATTAGCAAGCTTTATTTATTTATATTTATTACCCACTCTCTCTCCTTTATCTTTTCGGGAATAAAGGATTCCAGTTTATTGTATAAAACAATAAAATTGAAGTCTTTTCCTGTTCTATTTTTCTTCTATTTCTATCCTGGAGTCTCCCCGGATTGATATTTTGGGAGTCTCAGTCTTGCTTCCATATTGAAATGGGCTGTGCCGTGCTTATTACTTCCACCCATACACGAATTCCTCGTACTATGAGTCTATATCTGCTCTCTCGTAGTATGGGTTTATCTGCAGTGACGAATAGAGATAAATCTCCTTTGTTGAGGCTGTAGATACCTGTGCTTCTTATTAGTTTGGCCCTCAGTGCCTCAAATGCAGTGCAGTTGCTGGTCACATCTTCGGCAGTTTCCAGGACACCATAGGGGATCGATATATTTTCCAAGACTGTGTAACTTGGCACAAAAACCCCCATGTCCTTAATTATTATAAAAATTATCATATATTAGAACATGATTATTAAGTAAACTTATTTATTATCAAGATTATTATATATTTATATACACATACTATATGTTAATGAAATTTTTAATTAACTGAAATCATAGTCTGAGCAGAACTTGGACTTTTCTTTAAAATGGTATGGTTTTGATCTTTTACATTTTAACATTTTTTTTAATGTAAAATTATTATTTTCATTTCAGTGCCGGCTGAATATTTCCAACATTTAGATCATACTGGTCAACGTGTTGATCGTTTTGAAAGAGCTGAACTTGTATTAGGAACCTACGATATTATAGCTACCGCAGAGTATTGTAAAGTGAGTGTATAGTGTTTTTTTTTTAAATAATTGTTTCTTTTCTTCTTTTTTGTTTTAACTTATATTAAACTCTTTTTTTTTCTCTTCTAGGACAGCCAATACCCCAATCCTCCCGCTCTTATATTTGTAATTGATGTGTCATATAATAATGTCAAATCTGGACTCGTGTCATTGTTATGTCGTCAAATGAAAAATATTCTATGTAATCTTCCTAAAGAAAGAGGTCAAGAAAAGTCTCCAATGAAAGTGGGATTTATAACTTATAATAGTGCTGTCCACTTCTACAATATTAGAGTAAGTTTTTATTATTTTATTTACTCTTCTAAAAATACAATATAATGTTAATATCATTTATTATATATTAGACTTGAATAATAAAAACCTGTTGGATGAAAATACGGCGTAATAATATTTTGAAAATATATCAATCTTCTACATCTTCCTTCTTGTAATTATTACATGATATTAGTGCCTCAGATGTTGTAATTGTATACTTAAGTGAATTTTCAATTTGTATTCGTCTATGAAAATAAGGTCATGACAATAAAAACACTAAAAGTCTTGAATTTTTCTGATGCATTTTTTCAAAGATAGTGTTGAAGAAACATGGGGGACAGGCAAATTTTTATCTAAATGTGACCTTTTTTTTTATTATTTAAAAAATGCAATCTCAATTTAATATACCTTCTTCATCACTTGGATTCTATGGCAGTTCAAATTTATGCATTTTTTTTTCTACAATGTTAATACCCAATTTTGTCGTCTTTTCTCCAAAAAAAAAAAAAAATTATATGCTAAATCTTTATTAATACTTCATCAAATCTGATGATTCAACCATTATTTTGAATATTACCTTCTACTATCTCCAGTACGGAAAAAAATTTGTGCATCCCTCAGAAAAGTTGAGGAAAAATTTATGGTTGATTACACCCATGGTATGTTTTACTAAAGATTCTAAAGTATTGTAATTGGACAGAGAAAATAAATTAGTTCATCTCATTGAAATATATTTTGGATTTACTTACTTCAGTACCACTTTGCCACTGAACAAAATATACTTTCCTAATTATTAACATGGGTCAACTTGTATATATTATACAAACGTTAACATTTATTAAATTCTTGTTAGAAAATTGACAACTTTCTTCTCATTTTCTTAGCCTAATCTAGGACAGCCTCAGATGTTAGTGGTCGGTGATACACAAGAAATGTTCATGCCTCTTTTGGACGGTTTCCTCGTCGATCCTGAAGAATCTGAAGGTTTGATAGACGCACTTATGACAAATATACCCATGATGTTTGCCGACACTCGGGAGACTGAAACAATATTAGCTCCTGCCATCCAGGCCGGTCTCGAAGCTCTCAAAGTAATGCTCATTGTAATTTATTATTTTAAATTCATTTTGCTTTCGAAATAGTTTTAACATTTAATCAATTGTTTTATTCTAAAGGCATCTGGATGTGCTGGTAAACTACTCGTGTTCCACTCCTCTCTTCCTATCGCAGAAGCTCCTGGAAAATTGAAAAACAGGGACGATAGGTCATTATTGGGAACGGATAAAGAGAAGACAATTTTATGTAAGATACTTTATCGTTAATGTTATTAGTTTTGGATTATTTTATCAATGGGATAGGGTATTCATCAGTTTCTTAAAAAAAATTATTAAGTGCATTTTTGGTATAGGTTAATTTTAAAATTTGTTTTTGTGAATTTCTAATATATTTATCAATACAAAAACATTTTAAGTGCATAAAAATTAACAAATCCTTTTATACAGGGTGTTTGAATTCTTAATGGCCAAACTCCGGGGGATGATTCTAGACAAAATTTCCAACAACAAAAAAAATCGTTTGATGCATCGACCGATTCCGAACGGAAAAGGTGTTAATACCAATTTTGTGTTTTTCTTAAGATCGTCACATTTTTTATTGAATAAGCAGTAAATACTTAAAAACTATTCAAGATAAATAAATTCTAAGAACACAATCATAAAGTAGAAAACATTTTCTTTAAGAAAATAGTATTTGAATTTACTACTAAGGATAAAGGGGCTTTCAGGTGGCCTGATTCGACCGCTGTACTGTTGGGTACGAATCACGAATACAGAGATACGCTGCTCCTGGATGGGCCCTGTAGTCGTATTAGACCTCCTGAAAGTCCCTTTCATCATTGGCCTAAGAAAATTCAAATACTTTAAGAAAAAGTTGTCTGCTTTACGATGGTGTTCTTAGAATTTAATTATCTTGAATAGTTTTTGAGCAATTTCTTGTTAATCGATAAAACAAAAACATGACCACTTTTAAGGGAGACACAAAATTGATCTTGACTCCTTTTCCATTCAGAATCGGCACATGCATCAACAGAACTCTTTTGTAGAAAATTTTGTCTGGAATCACTCCCAGAGTTTGGATATTAAGAACTGAGACACGCTGTATATCAAATAAATTATAAAGTCCTTACTTATTTAAGATGTCGCTTAATAATCTTTTTCCAAAATATTGACTATGTGCATGTGTCACAGTTTGTAGAAAAACAACTTTTGGGCGATAGATTTTCTTTTAACATAATGCTCAATCTTCATTTCCTACCAACAAATGCATTCATCTAAAAGGGATTGAACCTTACTACTGTTATTTAAGTGTTCCTGAATTACAGCTTGTTATTATTCTCTTGTTAGTTGTGAAGAAGGTTACCTATGTTTGCTAATGAGTGTCGATTTTTGATTAGTTGGATACATGGATCTGAGTATTTGCATTGAATCATATTGTAAAAATGGTATAAAATGTAACTAAGTTTTATATCTGAATATTATTTTTGGGGAATCTGTTGTAAATAAAATAAGGATTTAAGAATGGTACAAGCGTTTCCAAGTTGGACAGAAGATGTTAATGATGGCAAGCATTCTGGATCCCCCAGCACCTCAACAGTCGATAAAAATGCAGAAAAGGTGAAAAAAAAAATTATTATGAACAATCAGAGAATTTCTGATCAGTTAAGTTGACATATCAATTGGCTCATGCCATGAAATTTTTTTTTTGGCATGAAACGTGTGACAGCATTGCTTGTTTTTGAATTCTTAGCAAACAACAACACTGTAATTATGCCAACCTCCATATTCTCCTCATAACTTTTTTTTCCAAAAATAAAAGGATCCTAACAAGTCCACCATTTTTTAAACATAGATGAAATGAAATGTTTGAGAGAGCTGAATGTGTATCTCAAAAATCAAGTTTCAGAAACTTAAAGAAGCACCGGCATAAATGTATAAAATTTAATAAGCACTACTTTGAAGTTGAATAATAACATTGTTGCAGATGAATAAACAAAATTTTTATTAAAAATATGACGATCATTTCTTTTTGAACATACTTCGTATTAATATCTATTTCAATATATACATATGCACACTTCATGTACTTAATTTTCATGAGATTTGTGTTGGTTTCAGTACCGCAGAACCAAGTTTACAACACCTTGGGACAGGACTGTGTCGGCGCTGGAGTCAGCGTCGATTTATTTATTACTAATAATTCCTATATTGACTTAGCAACTATCGGACAAGTTTCAAGGCTCACTGGCGGAGAAATCTACAAGTATACATATTTTCAGGTTAATTATTCATTAAATAATGAAGGTTTTTCTGTATTCTAATAATATGCAATTTATTTATAAATATTATATTTCTAAACTTAGGCGGAATTGGACGGTGAAAGGCTTATAACAGATGTTGAGAAAAATATCAGGAGGTTGTGCGCGTTTGATGCTATCATGAGAGTTAGGACTTCCACAGGTATTCGACCGACTGATTTCTACGGACACTTTTACATGTCCAACACCACCGATATAGAACTTGCCTCAATTGATCCAGATAAGGTAAGGATTTTTCAGAACTTGTGATTGTAAAGGTTATGGATTTCCTATCGTTTAGATCTGTGGTTCATGTGGATGTTTATATTTACCACCTGTTTAGCATTGAAAACCTTTTAGTGATTTGTTTTATTATTCATGTACTGAGATTTTCATATTTTTTTTCTATTACAATGTTATAATAATAATGTGTTAATTTTTTCAATATGAAACAAGAAATTTATAATATACATTTTACATATACTACTCATGATCTTTTGACCTTCTGTAGAGAATCAATTGTTTTACAAAACTTAATGAATATTGCAAAACAATTAAGTAATAGATTACAATCTTTCTTTTATTTACTTAACTGATTATTCCTTGTTAATTTCCATTATTATTTTACTTATGTGTTATGTTTTGAAAGAAGGAGATATTTATAATTCCAGGCCCTTACATGATAATTGTACAATGCTTGCCAATCTTGCCCCTTCATTTAATTAATGCACTCCTCTTTAAATAAAAAATTTTGCCCCATCCCTCTTTTCTGTAATTCTGATAATACAAAATAGACACCTATATTAAGATATATATTCAACCTATCTCAATTATTATATAACAAACAATAGTGCACATCTAATGCCTTGCTAACATAATAGTTAAGATTGAGAGGTTGTCTCCTTATTTTAATTGTTGACCCATTCTACATCTATCAAAGATATAGTTGTTCCTTTCTGAATCATAATTTAACTCCTTATACAACAGATGATATGAAATATTATTAACTCTTAAACCAATATTTATTATTATAATAACTAATATTTATTTTTAAAATCATCATTTTTTATTTTCTCTGTTAATCCATCAAAGAACTTTTCATCTCCATCAATTAAATAACTGCTATTGTTCCACCCATATCTTCAATAATTCTTTTAATCACCTCTTCAGCCAAGGTCTTATTATAGTTTTTATTTATTGTCAATATTTCTTATAAACTTTATATTTTTAGGGAATAGCCGTCGAGATTAAACATGACGACAAACTTTCCGAAGAAGAAGGCGTCTATATCCAGGTAGCTCTGCTGTACACCTCGCTGTCTGGACAGAGGAGGATCAGAGTTCTCAACCTGGTGCTGAAGGCCTGCTCACAGATGTCCGAGCTCTACAGGACCTGCGAACTTGATACCGTCATCAACTTCTTTGCCAAACAGAGTTAGTAATCATTTTGAAATGAAAAATATTTATTTATTAGTTTTTAATTCATTCTCCTTTACCGTTTACGGCTTCGTATGTTTGATCATTTTTCCCAAATATTTAGCTTTACAATGGTAATATTATACATCTATATTACTAAATTTTGATAATTTGAGATTAAGGCCCAGTCAGACTATTTAAATGAAGGTAAGATCTAATTAGTATTTGTATCAATAGTAAGGAGTTTAGTCTAAATCGTTCAAGCCGTTTTCGACAAAATTCTAAAAATGGGTAAAATCAAAGATATAAATTTTTACTCTTCCAATAAGTCATTTTAGTGAGAAAGTTGCTGTAACTTCTCAGACATAAACCTATCTTAAATATTAAAGTTCAGCTTTGTAGGGTGTTTTAGTTTTTGAGTTATGCTGTTCACACTGTTATATTATTATTTACTGAACACGTCCACTGTACTTTATGTATTTTTTATGAATTAGGTTAGAAAGAGAGAGGAGAGAAGGAAGAGAAAGGGTATAGAATGATAATAAATGAATGAAAGAAATAGTTAAAAGAAAAAGGAAAAAATATATAAAACAAAATAATAATAAAATATATATATAAAAATATTGTATACTATGCTCATACATATTGTTAATCCTATATAATTGTATATTAATTTTAAAAATTGTCTGTAGTGATTAATAAGTATTCTGTGTTGTTAGCAACCCAATGTAATTGGGCAGCACCATTTTATTTTATGATAATAAAGTGATTCTCTCTCTCTCTCTTATTAAAATCTTCGGTTGAAAAGTTTTCACAATTACATTACTTTCCCTTATTACTGTTTTAATTATTTAACAATTTCGTTGCTACCTTGTGACACCCACTGAAATAAGCTAATGAATAACATTAAATGTTTACTTAGAGGGTAATTAAAAAAATAAAATAAAATCAACAGTTCTGAACTATTTGTTTTAATAATTAATAATATATTAATAATTTAATTGTTATTTATTTTATTACAGGTGTATTCAAGCTTTTAGATGCATCAGCAAAAGCAGTTAAAGAATCTTTAATAAATAGGTCAGCTCAGATTTTGGCATGTTATCGTAAGAATTGTGCTTCACCTACTTCTGCCGGGCAGCTGATCCTTCCGGAATGCATGAAGTTGTTACCGCTCTATATCAACTGTCTATTAAAAAGCGATGCCATCTCCGGAGGTATATTCTTAATTAGTTTTTAGTCTATTTTTAAAAATAAAAAAAGAGTATAGAAATAAATTAAATCCCATCAAATCAATTTTACTCTTCCTATGCAAAAAAAACCGTTACCTAGAACTTCACATGGACAAACATCTTATGTGGAATCTGTATACACAACTCAAACGACAAAAAACTGCTCGATCTTTCCGGCTGCCCCAATCCTTGAAAGACTAACTCTTTAAACTTACAATTAATTAGAAAAGGCTCATTAACATGACTGTAATAAGACCTATATGGACTTGAAGAGTTGAACTTCAAGTTCTTATCATATCCAATCCAAAATCCTTAATGCTCTAAATTTTGTCAGAAATATAACCATCCATATAGACCTTAATGTTCCATATGTTGCTGATTTGGCCCAAGCCAGATACCTATCCTTTGATGATACACTCTAGTCCCATGCAAAACCACTTGTTTTCAGCCTTGCATCTTCCTCGATTCCAAATAATCCTCCTAGGCGTCTGAAAAGAAGATGGCCTCAGGATCTTCTTATTTAGCAAGTGTTACCATTGGTAATATCTCTTCAAGTCGTATTTATTTAATAGTCCTAATTTTTTTAATAAGTCAAAATTTTACTTATAATGTCATTTTACAAACTAATACCAGTTATCTATTTTTTTTTTCAATATTGTTTTTAAATAAAGTTTATATAATTTGTTATTATTGTATGTTTAAACATTAAACATTTTTTGTATTCTAGGCAAAGACATGACGGTGGACGATAAGTGGTTTGTGATGGCAGCAGTTCTGACAATGGATGTTCCTTCTTCGCTTGCCTACTTCTATCCACGGCTGTATTCTCTATTAGATGTGGAAGACAACCTGCCTCCGCCATGTATTAGGTGTTCTTCAGAAAAAATGGCTGATAATGGAGTATATTTGCTAGGTATGCTATGTATTGTTTGGAAGCTTTCCTTAATATATATTTCCTCTATAACTTAATATCGAGTTTTTAACAATTGGAGTGAATTTCGATGCGGTTACAAGTTTCCTGAGGGAGTGGGATAGCTTAGTAAGTAAGGCATTTCAATGCTCTTAAGTCTCAGGTGTAAGTCCAGTTGTGGCAGATTATTTAGATAGATAGATAGATAGAAAGTAAACTTTATTCTGGGACAAGGTCCCTTATGAATAACAGATATGAACAAAAAAATTAAAACTACATCTGGCCAAAAATTACATTAATCAATATTAAAGAATATATACAGTATCTTCCGTGAAATTAAATTAAAACAAGTAAAAATAAAATAAAATTTTGAGAAAAAACGAAATAAAAAAAAACAACATTATTTAAATGAAAATAAAAATAAAATAAAATAAGCATGGGTTGATTTTTAAAATTAAGACTCAATAAATTTTATCAACCATTCACCTCAGTCAAAATCTGTTTCACAATATTTATTTTATTGTATAACGTCATTTTGGGATGTGAGAAGGAATTGGTAAAGATGATATTTAAATGAGGACAAGGAAGAGGCATGACGGATTTCAGATGGCAAGGAATTCCAGAAGGCTGTGGATCGGGAAATAAAGGAATATTCAAACGTCTTAGTTCTATGGGAAGGGATATAAAGGTCGGAAACACGGGATCTTGTTTTCTGGGAGTGGACCACGGGTTTAAACTGTAGGAGACTGTAGATGTAAGAAGGGTGTCTGGTGTTGATTGTTTGGAATAGGAAAGATCCGAGGAAATATTGTCTGCGGAAAGAAGGGAAGAGCCACTTTAACTCGTCGTAAAGGTGGGACACATGAGATCGCTTTGATGTACCGAAGACAAATCTTAAGCACGTATTCATGAGTCGCTTCAATCTATCCTCGAGTACCATCGGGATGCCTCCGTACACCACACAGCCGTAGTCAAAGTGGGGGAAAATGGGAGAGGATACAAGGAGCTTGCGGATGGGTTGTGGGAGTAGGTGGCGGGAGCGATGAAATAGCTTAAGGGTACCTATTGACTTACGGGAGATGAGGGCAATATGGGGTTTCCAGGAGAGGTTTTCGTCTATGGTGATTCCTAGGTTTTTAACGGATGAACTGAATGTGACAGGATGATCGTTGATGACTAATGGAGGAAGGAAGGAGATGGATTTAAGAATAGGACTAGAACCTATAATAATGGCCTGAGTTTTTATCGCATTTATTCTATTCATCAGCTGTAAATCAACCATGGGGCTATATTAGAAGATCCTATCCTATGGGCATACCCATTCTCTGGTGGGTATTCTTAAATGATGAAGAGGTTAAAAATGACAGTTGAGCATGATAAGAGTCAATTCACCTTGCATTACCATTGACCATGAGAGAGCACTTCCTTAGAAAGTACTGAGGTACAGCGACAGGGTTCGCTTCCATCTAATCTGGATTAGCGAGATACTACTGTATTAAATGTTATATAATCAATATTTATATTGCTTGAAATGTGTGAACTTTGCTTGAATTATTAAATTAATAGTTACAATGTGATTTTTTTATGGTTCCTCTTCTATATGTATAAAATTTAATCCACTTTAAGTATCTATAGATTTAAAATGTGACTATGCTTGATTTTTTTTTTAAATCAAATTATAGTCAAACAATAATCATTTTGATTTTTCTTTTCTTTTTTTCAGTGAACGGTATATACATGTTTCTCTGGCTGGGTCTCGCTACACCTTCAGATTGGGTGATGTCAGTGTTTGGAGTTCCAAGTGCGGCTCAGGTCGACATTGACCGGCATAGATTACCAGTCCTTGAAAACCCGATATCAGAAAGAGTTAGGAATACAATCTCATCTGTCGCTGATAGCAATCATAGGACAATGAGGGTAAATTAAATTTAATATTTCTTTACTGTTTTAATCTAAATCTGTAAACCTTTGAGTATTAGCAATGTATCTCCCTGACTCAAAATTCTTTTCTGTTTTTTTTTTTTTTTTTTTTTTTTTTTGAGCTGAAATTTTTTTTTGTTCTTTCTCACTCCATTTAGTCCTCAGATGATGAACTGAGCTCAAGCTCAGACGACTTAAGGCAATGATAAGTGAAGGTCAATGTTAGTTGCTCTGCTCCTCATTGCTCTGCTTGGTTGAAATTATACAAACCCACAGCAATATAAACTATAAAATATAAACAGCTTCTAATAATGTGTGTACTCTTTATTAATAATTATTTTTTTAAGCACTGACTAGGCCACTGTGCAGTATGCCATTAAAAAAAAAAGAGAAAACCTTCCAGTTGAGCATGATCTCAGTCAAATCATCTCCCTGCACAATTGTTAGCTAAGAAACAGAAACATCCTTATAAAATACTGAATCCAAGGCTCTCTTTACACATATACACTTCATCTGCTTTCAATTAAAGCAGTAATTTAACAATTATTTGAGTCATTGTGTCTTAAATAAAAATATTTTAGTGGGGTATAGTGTTGATTTATGTATTTCATACTAAACATAGGTACAAATTTATTTCTTTAAATTAAAATATTTGATATTTTGATATATTTACACCTATGGATGTTGTGTATCCATATATATCAAGCATAATTACATGTGCACAATTTTTCTAATTTGAAAAATGGAAAATTCATCTATGTTCTAAGTGATTTAAGGTTATGAAAAGTCACTTAATGACATTTTTTATTAAACCAATGATATATTAGTTAAGTATTTCAACAATTTCATTTTGATATCAATATCATTAAATATTGGTAACATCGATATCAAACACAAATATTAATATCTACGAGTTATATCTGAACTTCCCGGATATCACAAGCCTTACTTATACCCATAATTATTTCAAAGATTGTTAACATCAAGGCCCAATAATGCATACATTTTCTATACGAGGCCATTACAACTCAGCGATCCTCCTATATTTTTCATAAGCTTACAATTTAAATACTTCATTCAATCCCATCCCACTAGATCTTGTACTTCCGATCTCTATGTTTCTCCACACCGAACTGCTGCATTTGACAAATCCTTTCTAATTGAAGCCGTCTTTCTCTGGGATTCTATCCTTCATATTTGACACATACAATCAGTTTTATCCAATCCAATCCTTTCAAACCAATCCTCTTTAGATACTTACTCCTTTTCCAGTCCAACTGATTATGAAATGTACCTAAGAGAACTCTTTAAGTAACCCCAGAGACTATTTCTGTTTACTTATGTTATTTTAGATTCCTATGTTTCTTTTATATATATATATATATATATATATATATATATATATATATATATGTTCTTTTTTTTTTTCTTTCTGTACTTTTATTTTTTATTAGCTATTATTTTGTTAAGATTTCATTTATGTATGGCCACACTGGCATTTATTCTAAACAAAAACAGTCCCAGAATATTAAAAAAAAATACATATATTTTCATTTTTCAGTTCAATTTATCAAAATATTGAAGTATTTTTTTTCAGTATTTATCAAGTTACTGTTTCGATATTTGCAAACTATCAAAATATTTTTTTCTAGATTTACATCCCTATATATCTCTCTTTCTTAGTCAATTATTTATGTTATGTTTTATTGTTTCTAGCTAACAATAGTGAGGCAGAGGGATAAAATGGAAATGGTGATGAAGCACTTCCTTGTTGAAGACAGAGGTTTGGACGGCTCTTCTTCGTACGTAGACTTTCTCTGTCATCTTCACAAAGAAATCCGTAATTTGCTCAGTTAGCGACCTCCCAAGCAGATTAATAAGCAGATTTCGACTGCCAATTGTTGGCTTGACATTTCCTATCGAACCTGTAAAATTTATCTTTATTCTTCAATTTATGAAATTTCGATTTGATATTTTTATAGCTGATGAAATTGTTATAATTGATTATTATTAACGTAACAGTTTCTCATTTAACGGGTAAGTAAGGAACTATTTGTTTTGAAGATGTATATTATAACGGGATTGTATCATAAATTATGTATTGTTTGTTTATTTTGTCTATTTCCTTTTAAAAACACACAAAAAAAAAGTGGGATGCTAGTGCTATATAATTTTTTTTTTCCATTTAATTATCAAACTCTGTCAATATCACAGGTTATTTCTTTTTTTTTTTGTTTAATTTTATTCTATTGAGGGGAAGAAATTTATAAACTGTATATATATATCTACGTAATTTGGACTTTGAAAACAAAAAAAGAAAAAAAATTAGTAAAAGTTAACTATAGTGCATCTGAGTACTTACTATTTAAATATAGAAATGGTATTACACATGTACTTCCAACTCAAATAACTTGCCACCAGTGCACTTTTATATCTTATTTCCTTGTCTTTTGTTTAATTTTTTTTTAAATATATATATTAAAGTCTCCTGCATTATATTATAAATGGAACCAACTGCATGTAGTATATATTTAACGGAAATTATTATCGAGCAGTTGCTTATTTAGATAAATTATGTAATCAAATATTTTTATTATATGTTGCCAGTAAATATTATTTTAATTAAATATTATTTTTAACACTAATAATTGTTATATCATATATAAATATATATGTTTCCCATGATAGGACACATGTACCTAAGTTTTCATTATATACATTAATACATTGCTTTATGTTGTATTTATGTTGTGCGCTCCTTAAGATCTTGTGTAGCCGAACTCGAGGTTATGCGGTTATATGGTGTGGCATGTGTATGTATTTATATATAAACAATTGTTATAACTTCGATATGTTATTTTTGTTTGGTAATGTGTTATTATATATAAATTATAGAAAATAAATTTGTAGATAATGTTGATGATTATTTTCTGTAAATAAAAATTTTATTCCATTTTATATTTCTTTTATTATGAAAGTACTGGACGAGATGTTTTTGTTGTACAAGCTTCTATATATTTAATTATAAAAATTGATTATTTAAAAGGAAAATAAAAGAAAACCAGTGTGAGAAACCTGCATTAGATAAATATCCTTCTTTTCCATAATGCATATGAAGTATAAACGCTATTAGGGAAACATTTTTATTCATATAAATCATTTATTGTTATCAAGTCTATTTATGGTAAAAGCACCAGTACCTGACATCCTTGGAAAATGGTAATAAGATTTCAGAACATCTGAGATCTCCGTTTCATAAATGTGCGACTTCTATGTTTTCTCCTCTTATATTTTTCTACTTTGCTTTAGTCTTGTCGGGAACAATTGCTGAAATAATATATGAAAAATTAATTAGTTTTCTCATAGTCCACTTAGTATCCCAGGAACAACCATCTTATCAGTTAGGGCTTCATATCTTAAGTTGTTTTTTTTTCTCTCTAGCTACTCTGATTAATCCTAAAAAAATGTATTTAATTTTTTTCTTATGATATAGAGATAGTTGACCTTGATATAATATGAGAAGGAATTGGTTGGAGAGTGCGGTCAAATAAATACTAAATTTTTAAAAAACAGTATTTTTAATTGTTTCGTTGCCGTTTCGACCCACTTTGCAAGTCTTCATCAGGGCTATAAAATGTACATGGTGAAAATAAAATAAATGAATTATAAGTAGATATTAAATAATATCCACTACCTTCTTGTTATCCACTGATATCTTATTATGTTTTCTTTATTCGTCAACACTCATTTTCTTTATCTGTTAACTTACAGTTATTAAATGTAATTTTTACCAATCTGTTTACTTTTAACTTACATGCTATATTCTTCTTTGTTTCCTATTTTTATTCATGCTTATTTTGTATATATATATAATACTTGATATTTGAACTACACTGTCACCCACTATATCTCTGATGTCATCTTATTATTTCTTCACCAGACAACTGTTTCTTATTTAATATCTACTTATAATTCATTTATTTTATTTTCACCATGTACCTTTTATCTTTTGTAGCCCTGATGAAGACCTGCAAGGTGGGTGGAAACGTCGGCGAAATCATTAAAAATACTATTTTTTGAAAATTTAGTATTTATTTGACCTCACCCCTCGACCAACTCCTCAATTTTTTTCTTAGTGTTGTTAGATTACGTTTTATCTGTTTTTCAACTTATTTTAATAAAATAATTCGAAATTTTAAGCCTTTTTCCAGTAGATGACATGCCTGTACTCTCATATATTCAAAGAGATATACTTAATATAGCAGGTCTTATAAATCGGACCATCCACTACTATTATTTTTAAAAAAAATGCTAGTGATGTTTATTAATTACAAATAAAAAATAGTTTTTCTCATTGCCAAAAACAGGTTCTTGATAGTGTTCTGCATTTACTGATAAATTTAAATAGAGGAATCCAAGAAATTAGATTTATATGTTAAAGGTAATTTTTGTGAATTTTAAAATGAAAAATATGAAATTTCACTACTTTATTTCACATAATCACGTACTTGTTCTCATCCATCAGCTACAGGTGCAACAATTCTCTTAATTAACTTTTTTTTTTTTATTTAGATGTATTTTAAATGTGCCCTGGCAAGATGAAAAGTAGATCTATAAGAAGGATCCAAGAAAAATACAATATTTAAGTTTTTACTCCTAAAAGTACAAAGAAACTTCCTTAAACATGTCAGTTAATGGTGCTTATAATCTAAAATATACAATTTTGTGAATCTCCATATTTTATAGTAACTATGTTACAATAACAATTTACTTGCTACTTCACTATAAAATATCTCTTCAATTTTTTTATTTTAATGAAATTTACAACTGTATTACTTGGAAAATACAACAAGTAAATCTGACATTAGTAAAATGACATGTACAACATGAAGAGAAACTACCCATTGGTAGAACTCAAATTAAAGTTCTATATTAGAAGGTCCCGAGGCCATCTTCTTTTCAAACGCCTCGGAGGGTTATCGGGGATTGAGGAGGAAGCAAGGTTTGAAACGAGAGGGTTTGGATGGTTCTGCAGTTTGTTATGGAACAATAGGTATCTGGATTAGACCAAATCGGAAACATATGGTACATTAAGGTCTTTATGGATGATTTTATTTGTGACAAAGTAAGGAGCATTGAGGATTTTACGAAGGGTTTTGGATTGTAAGGATTGGACACAAGAGGAATTCGATGGTTTAGTGGAGCCCCAAAGCTCAATTCCGTAAGTCCAAATAGGTCTTATTACTGTCATATATATGAGTCGTTTGTAATTGATTGAAAGCTTAGAGCGTTAGTCTAGTATGTGCTGCAGTAGTCGAAAACGTCGGGCGGTTTCAGTCTGGTATGGGGGTTCCAAGTGAGTCGTTTTTCAAGGTGGAGTCCTTAGTATCGGATTTGTTCGACAGGAATAAAAGGGCTATTGTTGAAGAATACTGTAGGACAGGAAGTCATAGGTTTACGGCGAAGTGTGAAGGTAATTTGATGGGATTTATTGGAATTTATTTTAATCCTCCAGTTTTGACACCATTTTTCAAAACTCGTGGTGTGTGATTGAAGAGTTTGGGATGCAATATATGGATCGTTATTAACTGATAGGATACACGTGTCATCGGCATAGGTGGTTATGACAGTGTTGGATTGGGTTGGGATGTCGGCTGTATAAACGGTGTAAAGGATAGGACCTAGGATACTACCTTGAGGAACACCGGCAAACTGAGTAAAAAGAGCTGAATAAGCATTGTTATGATTTACTTTGAAATATCTGTGAGTAAGGTTCTCTTCAATTAAACAATAAGACTCAGCAATTCATCCGTAAACTTATTTAAACCTGAGTTGAGGCATATTGAATTAGTGCACAAGAGCTTGGATTTGGTTTATTGTTAAGAATAGAGTATAGAAGTCAGTCCTGTGTAAGAACTTCACCATCACTATGGCGATACTAATGACCAAGAAAATTAAAATATAGATTTTCATTAAAATATCATGAACTTTCTGTATTATACAAGTGATATCAAGGCTATTCTTTTACCTTATCAGTAGATTTTTAATTTTTATAAACATTGATGACAGTTGCGCTTATAAGGATGTTGGTTATTATTATGACGTGTCTTAAAAATATTAAAGTTTAGGGTTATTACTAGAGACTGGATTTCCATGTTATTGCACATTTTATTTGCTTGTGTCTAGAAACTCCGGAGTCGAGTATCTATCCATTTCAGGATCTGTAGAATAACATTTTTATATTGCACGATTTGCCGTTTTTGACTTAAATTGCACGATTTTGGTTTTTGTTGCATTAAATTGCACATTTTCGCACTTTTGTGATAAATTAGATGATTTATAAATACAAAGTATACAAGTGTGTTAATATTTACTTTTTTATTTTACTAGATTGTTAAAATTAGATGCTTTACTTTTACCTCATAAAAAAAATATGTGGAAGGTGAATAATTCTGTGACGAGGAAAAATCAAATTTAACATTACAAAAAGAAGTAAACACCAGTAAAAAATATTCTTGGAATAGAACTTGCCTGAATTATAGGATAATAAAAAGCTGCTTTTCTAGAATAAGCTGTTTTGTTAGTAATAAATTTATTATTTTTGTTTTGACTTGACTCATTCTCTTCAGGATTTGAATTGATTTGTAGTATCTTTGTCATTGTCGTGGGCCTTTTCCATAATGTGCAGGATAACCATCTCATTGAAGCCACATATCCCTTCTCAGTTTTAGTGGAATATGTTCTACTAAATCTTAGTAATCATAATTAAGAAATTGCAGAAATGTGCCATATATGAAAACCAATTTCGGATTTCTATTGCACAAAAATCCGGTCTCTAGTTATTACAAATGGTCTGTTACGTTCAATGTTTTGACTAAGTCTTGATGTCCTGCTCAAAGTATTTAAAGCTTGACTAATCCCCTCACTGCTGTTAATAATTTAAAATAAATACTTAATCTGATTGTTTAATTATTTTGCTCAATTTACTCACAGAAACAAATATTTACCAATGAAGAAAAAATTATATCTTTCTATTTTGGGGCTTCAGCTTGAAAATATTTTGAGCATGTTCCTCCAAAACTCATAGAATTTTCTTTTGTTTTTAGAATAGCTCGTGTTCATCTCCCAGAACATTCCAAATGCTCATTTTAAAGTTTATTAAATAGTATAAAAAAGCTAAACTTTAAACAAAAATCTTAATCTGAACAATATTATTAAGATAAAAGATTGTCCTATGAGTGGGTACATATAATAGTAGCCTAATAGACATTTAAGGCAACATTACTCTAAGATATATTCTGAAAAGACAAAACAATATATTTTTGACCCTTTTAAAAACTTGAACTTCAAAAGCAAAAAATATATTTATAAATTAAAGGAATTTTTGATAGCATCATCCTTAAGGAATTTGATATTAGGAAATGGCCCAAGGTCCTAAAAGAGAAGAATTATGTTGGTGATAGTTGAGGAGGTGAACATGAGAAAGGAAGGACTTTAATTTTATATTGAAAGAATAATGGTCTAAAATTTTACATTACAGTTTGTTTTGTTTTTTAATAATTATGTCATCTTTCAAGCAATTACACATTTTCATGAAATAGTATGCATTTTGAGTTTTGCACTAGGAAAATTAGAAAATTGATCAATCTTGGACCTCATACAAACTTTTTGCTTTTAGTGCAAAATTTTATTTGTATAATTAAAGATTAGATTTGTTTAATAAATATGTTAACTATATAATTACAATTTTATTCAACTTATATCTTTTTTTATATTTATCATTTGTCGTTTTTATAGACAAATAAATTTCAATTATATCTACTTTTATTATGGTTAATATATAGACCATAGTTAATATATTCCTTCATAAAACTATGGTTGTTTATATATTTTTTTAAATATTTCTCAGTAAGAAAAAAAAGATAAAATGTTATCATCATTTTTCGAAAATTATTTTTAGTTATTTTAGTTATATGCTACCTAGTTTAGAATTTCAATGAAGTCAATTTTTTTCCTGCTCTTTGATTTTAATAATGACAGAGATATTGAATCATTTTAAACGCTTATTTTGCCTTTTTTTTATGTTCATAGAAATTGATCTAGTAGTTTCTTAAAATATGTGCACTTTTATTCATGTTTTCTTAAAATTGTAGC